GTGTTGTCGTGCGTTGCATCAGACTGTCGATTGCCCACGCCGGCCCGGGCAGGAGGCGAGGGGAGAGACGGTGTCAGAAACAGCCCGCGCCCGCCTCGCGCCTGCTGCGATCCCGCGGGACGCTTTCCCTAACGCCGCCCGAGTTCGTTCCTCTCCCTTCCCCGCTTCCGAGATCCTGCCCCTGCCCGGGTGAATGAGGAAAACGGGGAGGATGAGAGGCCGATGGATTGTGTGGTCATGTTACAGACGGGTAATTAGTGCCTGGATAAAGTGCACAAGAATTCCCACGTTTCTGTGTGTGTCTGTCCTGAACTGGTTTTGAAGTTAGACTTCTAGCGGGCAGAGCACCGCTTCCTAGTTGGGTATATGTTCTGACACACTTTTGATTTTAAAAACAAAGAAGTTTTATGTGAAAACACAAATGAGTGTTGTAAACCAGCACCTGAGTTACCAAAGTAAAATTCACCTGGGACCTCTGGTCAGATACAGACCTCCCTGCGACCCCGAGTATTTTATGTGCAAGCTATGTCCAATTTAAGTTTTTAAATATTTTGACGGTATCTATCAAAAATGCCTGAGCGGTCAAAGCTTGACCTGCGCCCAGGAAATTTCCGTGTACCATTTCCTTGTATGTGTGTCGCTAATGAAACGGTTGAACGCTTTGGTCCTTCACCAAGATGCCAGAACTGTAACCAGTAACGTCGCCGTGTACATACTTAGGGTCCCTTTCATCCTGGAGGAAATGTAATTAACTATTTAGGTGGAGACTTTCAGCATACTGTCTGCATGTGATTATCTTAACAGCAAGCGCTGGGTGCAGATTGTGTGGAGAGATTTCCTTTCTTCATCCCAAACCCTCTAGCGTTATGGCCTCTTAAAATCTTACAGAAATTTAAGGACTAGAAAGTCATGAAAACAGTTTTCTGTTCAAAAATTTTCTGCCAGGGGCTGGGGATTTAGCTCAGCGGCAAAGCGCCTGCCTGGCAAGTGCAAGGTCGTGAGTTCGGTTCCCGGTACCGGAGGGGGAAAAAAAAAATTTTTTTTTTCTGCCAGTACCTCTTGCCTCTTCCTCAGCCTGATTCTAAATGGGAGAATAATTTGAAATCCTCCACTTTCCCACATACTCAAGTTTAACAGGTCCAGAAAAGGGATGTGATTTTTGTTTAATAAATCAGGCAGTTAAAATTAGGCAGTTAGTTCAGGGATCTAGGGTTGATTTGGAAGAAGTGGGCTTCGTTTTATATGTGTGTTTTTCTGGGGCTAGACTCCCATTATTTTCAACGTATTCTCAGAGCGGTTGTCCCTTACTGAAAAAAGATTAAGGACCATTCACTTCATTATAGATGAGGGAGGATTGAGCTTTCTTAGCTTTGTGAAATTCTATGTTTGTTCCACTATACCATAGAGCTCTTTGTTTCTTTGTTTTTGGGTTACTTGGACTATACTTTTATTCTCCTATACTGAAATGAATTTAGGTAGATAAGAGTCACTAAAAAGTATATGTGGTATGTTCAGCATTCCTAGTTTTTTCACAAAATGCTGTTTTTTCCTTTTAAACCAATTTTGCCTTATATTCAGAAATTCTGGAAATGTCTACTGCATTAAAATTTCATTCTAATACTACAGTTGTTAGCAATTCACAGAAGTTTATTTAAAAAATAGAAGTAATACAGGCTTTCTTCCTTCATCTTTACCACATTAGATCTTCAAGCATTAACTTCTATAAAAATTTCAACAGTTTGTGTTTGAGGCTTTCATATTGCTGTCCTTGCAAATTGTGTTTTTCTGTAAAATCTATGAAAAGATAAATTTTGTGTGTGTTGACCAGGGTTTTGAAAAATAAGTCATTGGGAGTGCAGTGCTGGATAGTCTTCGTGTGCCGTAGTGATGGTGTGGAAGGATGCTACAGCCAAAAGAGAGTCTCGGAAGAGTATTCTCTTCTAGCGAGACTACATTAAATCAAAACAGGTAGATTAATTTTAACTGCCAGGGTTCCCTATTCTAAGAACAGATATGTGGTGTGATGCATTTTTTTTTTCTTAAAAAGCTTGTGTGAAGGGAAGTGAAGAATAAATCATACAGTTCATTTTGTTTATGAAGGCTGAGTGCCTCTATTTTAGGAAATACAGGACAGTGTTTTGACATTTTTTAAATAAATAGTGGGCTTATAAGTGACAGAACGTTTGAGATTCATAGTCTTTTACAATCACAAATGTAAATGTTGGCTTAATTTTTAGTATATTAAAATTAGATAATTCTTTTAAAAGAATTTACAAAATTCCTGGCTATTAGCATTTTTAATTCTTAGGAAAACAAACGTGTAAAAGTTACATGTGATTTCACGCAGTGTTGTTCACCAATAAGAAAGAGTACAGAGTTACTTGGCCTTTAAATCATTTATAAACTTTATATGAGCGCTGCAAACTAAGTGTATGTCAGTCCTCCATATGGAGCGGTCTGACTCCTCCGTGGATTCAACTAACTGAATGGAAAATATTTTTGAGGGGGAAACTGTCAGTACTGAGCATGGGTAGGCTTTTTTCCTTGTCAGCGTAGCACCTGTTTACATAGCGTTGCGTTATGCTAAGTATCAGAAGTTGTCTAGGGAGGATGTGAAGTATACAGGAGGATGTGCGAAGGTTGTATGCAAATTCTGTGCCATTTTACAGAGGTAACCTGAGTGGGCCCGGGTTTTAGTGTGTGAGGTATGGGCCCTGGAACCAACCTTGCTGGAGACTGAGGGCAGTTGTTACTATAAAATGATTATTCAATAATTTGGACTGTAATTGGCCCTTACATATTGGTGTACACACATTACCTAGCTTACTAGATTTTTTAAGTAGTACTTTTTAAAAGGTGTTTAAAAATAATATTTTTATAATCAGAAAGTAAATACATTTTAGAGAAAATGCCATTTAAAAAGACATTTTCTTTTTTTTTTTGGTGTTTCTCCGGTACTGGGAGCCGAATTCACAACCTTGCGCTTGCCAGGCAGGCGCTTTGCCACTGAGCTAAATCCCCAGCCCCTAAAAGACATTTTCAAGCTTTTAGATCAAAGAGAAAAGTTTAAAATAGACTGATAGGTCCTTGAAAAAGTAGTAACAAGAAAAAAAGAAAACCTGAGGTATGGCTGACGCTGTTCTCTGAGGCAAATGTGTAGTCACAAATGCTTTAGTTACTGAACAGTTTAGAAGGGGAGATAAAATTACCCACTCAAGGCAGGAAGCCCGGGGATGACCTCATCAAAGTAAGAGAAAATGATATGTGTAAAGACAAATTCACACCCTAGGTAACCCGAAAACATGACTTGGCGCGTTCTGAGAACACTGGCAGCATGTGCAGCGGCGAACCAAGTGGGCGGAGTTGGTGTGGCGCACTGACTTTTCCCCTCCGTGTTTTCTGAAGTTTTGTTAGATTTCTACTCCTGCAGTTTGTTTTGGCAAGTGGTGTACTTTTAGTATAAGCCAAAGCAGTAAAAAAAACAATACAGCCAGCAGGCATCTGAGAGGAGGCATTAATCACTTTTTCCTTCCGAAGACGCTTGTTTTATCTCTGTCCAGGGCGTGTAAAATCTCGCTGTTTGACAGAGCACTTTTTTACCTTAACCCGGAGAGAATGTGGAGGCGCCCACGCCGCCTGTCCCGTGGGCGTGCGGCGCACTCTGAGCTGCGCCGTGGGAGGAGGCTCCTTATGTTCTCCTTCAGTTTTGGTGAAGTGGGTGTCGCTTTTCTGGTGCTCAGTCCGGGGGGTTATTGCACATGCGGGAGGTTCTGTCTGAGAAGCCGAGGGCGCCTTGCCGGCTGCTCTGCTTCTGTTGACGCGCTCCTCTCCCTCACCTGCGCTGCTTCGGCGGCGCTGCGGCTACTCCCAGGAACGCTTTTAATCCCTCTCCCGGGGTCGAGGACAGCCCCTTTCAGTTTCTATTTTGAGACAGTATCAGGTGCAGGGCACCTCCTGCCTAGGCCTCCCGAGTGCCGGCTTTACTGGCATGTCCTCTTGCACCAAGCTTCTTAGAAATGTTCTGATAAATTCAGCTTTCTAAATCATTCACATTAAAGATTTCTCGTCGATATTTGCTTTAATGTGTATACAAGTAAAAATGAGTGAAATGGCTTAGGAATTCTTTCAAAGACTGGTTTCTGGAATTTATGAGTTTTCATAAATTTGGAAAAATCTCAAATTTCTGAAAGGTATTTTTACCATGTAGATGGTTGAATTTCTTGAAGCAGATAGTAGTACAAAAATGATCAGACTGTTTATGTAGCTTACACTTGTTACATATTTATATTTTCTTGACAGTAAAATTTCTGATCTTCCCCCAAAATAAGCCATGACAGAAGTAGAGGCTAAACATAGAAATTCAAGCAGAGGTATACTATTGTATAGTTTGACAAATCTAATTGTTACTGCAAGATGGTTTTCTTGTTTTTTTTTTTTACTTTCCATACTCATATGAAAGCCTTGCCAGAATCTGTTACTTATCTAATGTATTATCAGTGGAGCTTTTTAAATGTGGGGTTTAAGAATCATTTGTGATCTTGCTATTGCTTTTTGGGCCTGACCATAGAAAGTAGGACATTTTGATAAACAGTAGATACTGAAGATCTCAGAGTCACAGTAAGTGGCTTTTGACACCGTATAGTGTTATAACTATAGGAGAAAGTTGTTACTCTGTTCCCACTAGTGACATCTTCTGTTTGTGCAGCTGTCAGATAGAGCAGCTTCTCTCTCCCTCTCTTTTGCTAAAAAACAAAGAATCATCTCAGTGCTTGTGAGTTTTATTGTTGAACTCTCATATCTGCAGTGCACTAAAGATAGAAGGCAATTCAGACTTCAATATTTAAAGATATGTACCGTGACTGTGTGCTGGCACTAGTTGTAAATGATGTATGACAACTTTTGAACAGTGGGTTGCCTAAATCCATAAACTTTTTTATGAAGTGCGAATGAAACTAGGTATAAAAGTTTGCTGTAGTCTTTGACCTGAACAAGAATGTGAATGTTCTATTACTGAGTCATTGAGTACTCCTTCCAGGGTTGAGGATTCCAGTAAAAGTGTTATTTTTAAGTTACATATTTATTTTATTTTGTATAAAATTACTTATATTAGTATGGCTCTATTTTTCATTTTAGAGTATTTGATGTCCTCATATTTCTTGCTTTTTAAAAGGAACCTAACATATATTAGTGTAGGTTTATGAAACTATTAAAAATTCTCATGGCCAAAAGGGTGTTTTTATTTTAGTATTAGTATTAGTATTAGTATTAGTATTAGTATTTTTGTCATTTTGAGACATGGTCTTGCTCTGCAGTTCAGGCTGGCCTTGAGCTCACTTCGTAGCCCAGGCTGATCTCGAACTTACAACCATCCTCCTGCTTCAGCCTCCTGAGTATTGGGATTACAGGCATGTGCCACCACACCTGGCTGGACTTTTTTATTTTTAAAGTAAATGCTAGCAAGTCCATTTTTATTACAGTGAAAGTGTTTGTTTCCCCTCTTCCTGTGCACATATGTGAACTTTATTTATTTATTTATTTATTTATTTATTTTGGTTTTTCTCCGGTACCGGGAACCGAACTCATGACCTTGCGCTTGCCAGGCAGGCGCTTTGCCACTGAGCTAAATCCCCAGCCCCCATATGTGAACTTTATAAAGCAAGTTTCCACTGTGATTATTGTTGAAAGCCCTTTTTTCCCTAGCAGGTGAAGCACTTACTATTTGATGATTTATACCCTATACTACTATAGATGAATAAGTTTGAGTTCCGATGGATATCACAGAGAATTGCTACCTTATGTTACTAGCTCTTGAAGTTGTTTTCACCTCATGTTAAAAGCAAGACACTAACTTCAGTTTACAAATATTTGTGTTATTATTCCAATGACTTCAGATTTGATTTTAATGGTACAAGTTAGATTTTGAAGTTAAGTCAGGTTAAGGGAAGGATGTTGAATTAGTCCTGTTACACAGTTCAGCCTTCTGTCTCTTCCTTCCCCTCCTCCCTTGAGTTTTTGTGTTTCTGAATATTTACAGTAGACTGTATTTTGTTTCTGTGTGTTTATTTTTTGGTCTTTTTTGAGACAGTTTTGTTATGTAGTTCAAGCTGGCTTTGAACCCATTTTGTAGCCCAAGCTGGCCTTCACTTTGTAGCCCAGGCTGACCTTGAACTCATGGCAGTCCTCCTGCCTCAGGCTCCCAAGTGCTGGGACTACAAGTCTGGCCACTGTGTCTGGCCAGTAGACTGTTTTGAGATAACTTTTTTTCCTAAAAATGACTGTATATTAAACATATTGACCCTTGTCTTTACATTTGTTTCTAATTACTTTTGTGAGAAATAAGAACTATAGAAGGTGATGCAATTTATAATCAGTAGGTACTAAAGACCGCAAAGTCACAATAAGTCACCTTTTTTTTTTTAATAAGTGACTTTTGAAACCATATGGTGTTGTAACTATAGGTGCTTCTACTAGATATTATTCTGGTGAGTTGCTGGGGACAAGTTTTGGTTGGTACCATTGTTTTTAGGGTAATTGTCTCCAGTGGTTAGAACATTGGCTTGTATTGTACCTATTTGTTTTATAAAACATGTTCAGTATCTTTTCAGATTATAATATTTATGTAACTTGCAGAATATACGTAGTTTTTTGTAATTTAAAATACTAAATTTGTTAAATATAACATATAGAAAACTATGTAAAAACCAATGTGCAACTTAGTAAATCATTGTGAAGTGAACACCTTGTAAATCTTACCTTGTTTAAGACATGGAACTTCTCCCAGCACCCCAAAAGCTGTTCGTTTGCCTCTTCCCAGTTGTAGCTCCCTCTTCCTGAGGAATTCCTGTCCTGTTGTTTTGGATCTTTATAGTTTTGTCATCCTCTCTGTGTCCCTCAGTACTATAATTTTTATGGCTTGAATCTCTATAGATTTCCTCTAAGAAAGGGCACAAAGGACACTAGGATGGAGTGTATACTGTGTATTACTTTAGTTTTGCTCAAATGTCTACTGGGAAACTGAAGCTATTCTTGTTTCTTCTTCAGTTTAATTGTGAACCAGAATTTTTCCCCCATACGTTTATTTTTTGGTTCATCTTAGACATTCTCCTTTCTTTTAACCTAACGATACTAATTGTAGTTTCCTGAGATGAACAGAGGTAGACTGTTTTTTAGACTACTCAGACAAATTCAGTTATTCTTTAACACTTGGCTTAGTGACCTTTTCCACTAATAAAATTAGTTAAAAACATGTTGTTTTGTCTGAAGAGTTAGACTTCTTACTATCAGCTTTATTTTTAGACACTGAGATATGACTTCCTTGTACTCTTTGATTGCATTAATAGCTTTGGTTATGTAAAAGATTGTTGAAATGTAATCATCTTTGATAAGTTGTTCCCTGTTTTATTGGTGGTTTTGTCCACGAAACTTTGTCATCATTCAGCTGTTTTAAGTTGCTGTTGTTGCTCTGCCTGTGTGTCTTGTGAGTACTGAGAGCAGACCCAGTGACTGTGTGGACTGACTGTCCTGTTGTTGGCACTTGTGTTGCTCATCTACTCTTGGTGCCTTCTGCCCTTCTTTGAAGAATGTCAAGCTCTCAGCGGAGGTCGAGCCGTTCATCCCCCAGAAGAAGACTCCGGACCCGTTCCTGATCCCCATGGCCCTCCCCAGTGATGGGGGAGGTGTTTCTGGTGTGGAGCCAACTCCCATCCCCAGCTACCTGATTACCTGCTACCCATTTGTGCAGGAAAACCAGCCCAATAGGTAATTTCTTCATTGTTTTCTTGATTGTGTTGTGTGGGGAAGGCTACACAGCTTGGCAGAGCACACTTACAAACATTAATCTTTTCTCTGTTTATTTTTTAAGAGAAGTAAGTAAAACAATAATATAAAAATTTGAACATTTCTTTTTTTGTGTGAGACAGGATCTCAGTGTGTTCAGGCTGGCCTCGAACTCACTGTGTAGCCCAAGCTGGCCTTAAAATTGGAGTGGGTCCTGGGATGATAGGTGTGAGCCACCACACTCCACTAGCTGTGAACATTTTAAACATGGATTTGTTTCTAATTCTTTCCAAAGGAAATAGGATTTTTTGGGCATGTCCCTTTTATTAAAAGTCATTAAAATTTACTTGAAACAAATAGACCCAAAGGGAGCTGGGCGTGGTGGCGCATGCCTGTAATACCAGTACTCGGGAGGCTGAGACAGGAGGATCTTTGCAAGTTTGAGATCAGCCTGGGCTACAAAGTGAGCTCAAGGCCAGCCTGAACTGCGTAGGAGACCCTGTCTCAAAAAGACAAAAACAAAAACAAAACAAAAAAAACCCAAATGGACCCAAAGGGAAACATGAACTATTCAGAAACCCTCTTTTGAAATTAGACATCTAACCTCATACCTGCCATGACAGTCTCTGACATGAGGAAATACTGGGGGGCTATTTTGCATGTATTTCTAGACTCCGATATTAGTTGTGCTGCAGTCACAGCATGATGTCGCAGAGTGCCTGCAGCTCACGCTGCGTGTGACACGGTGGTCTGGACGTGGCTTGAGAGAGCCGTGGTGGCCTTGCTTGCCCTTCCTGGACTGGGTGATTGGCACACCAGTGTGTACGGGAGCTCACTTTATTGCCATGTAGAAGTGTTTTGTACCTTTCTCAAGCGCTGCTGCACACAAAACGGTATTTGCGCAGCATGTGGGATTTGGATATGGCAGCTGCTGTCTCTGAACTCTGCCCAACTGTCCTGAGGGCTGAAGCAATCAGTATTTCCACACAGCTCCAACTGTGGCAGAGTAATGTGCCATTGCATATTTGTTGAGAAATTCTGGATATATGATTTATGAGGCCTCCAGACTACGTTTTCAGATATTAAATGTACAAGTTAATATTCTGAGATTTTTTAGAGTGGCATTGGAGATTGAGCCCAGGGCCTTTGCAGTGAGCTACAGCTCAAGATTCTTAGTCGTCTTGGAGGGTGGACAGCAGTAGAAACTAATGGAGCCTTCCAGTGGAAGTTCGCACTATATTTAAACCCTTCGACCTATTGGTAATGTGCACGGCAAGCTGTAAACTAAATTTAATAATACTGTTTTTCTGTTGCGCAAAACAACTGAGTACGCAGTGTGATAAATGTTTCCTTGCCGTGTCAGATAATCTCTGAGATACTTGGGCAAGCCAGCCAGCAGGTTGATTGCTTTTTTGAATACTTTCAGAAGTAACGATAGTGAGCGCTTTCCACTTGGCTTTGTTGTGGCCTGACCCCCGCACATACAGCCCCCTTCTGCCATGGGTTTGGGACAGGAAGCTCCCCTGCCGCCAGTGCTCGTGGGCCTGCACTAGGTGTCAGTGGGAAGGTGCGCTCTTTTCTCCTCCTCTTTGTGTACACCTGGAGCCTGCGCCGTGGCCACGGAGAGAAGCTGGGTGCAGAGCTGGACTCGGCTGTTGTGTGGGGAGCGTGGGAGAAGAGTGGGAGGCTGGGATAGCACCGCGGGCTGGGAGGCCGAGAGGCGCCCCTGGGTAATGGTTGCCTTCCGCAGCCGTCGCCTTGCTGTGCATTTTGCAGAAGGCTGTCTGTGTGGTCGGCCTCAGAGCCAGACTGGGCTGTGGTCCTCTCCAGACGCAGCAGCTGGGTGCTTAACTATTAGGCAGAAGTGTCTTGAAGAGGTTGGGGGCAGATTTACAGATGAGAACCCGTAAAACTATTGGGCTGGATTCCTTTCTGCTGCCATTTAAATAGTTGTTACAGGTACCTGACATCTCTAGTTACAGCAGACAAACTTACATGGTGGTGGTGTTTTGTTCCCCCTGTCTCTCTCTCTCTCTCTGTTTCTTTCACTGGGAATTAAACTCAGGACCATGTGCTTGCCAGGCAGGCACTGTGCCACTGAGCTGTATCCCTGGCCCCTTCCTTGTTGTTACAACGCCACTGTTCTGTACTTTTTTCTTTTATTAAAAAGATAAGGGATTTGACTTTAGCATCATTTTACACTTGTGAATAGCTCTGTTCTTTTTTGATTTGGTTTTGCAGACAGTTTCCTTTATATAACAGTGACATACGATGGCAGCAGCCCAGTCCCAACCCCGCTGGACCATACCTTGCCTACCCCATTCTGTCTGCCCAGCCGCCCGTCTCTGCGGAATACACGTATTACCAGCTGATGCCAGCACCCTGCGCCCAGGTGATGGGTTTCTACCACCCCTGCCCCGCACCCTACTCCAGCACTTTCCAGGCTGCGAGCGCTGTCAGTGCCATAGCCGGGGAATGCACCGAGCGCCCGAGTCCACTTGGCCAGGTCTTCCCGCTGTCCAGCCATCGAGGCAGAAACAGCAGCCGAGGGCCAGTCGTTCCAAAGGTCAGTGGCAGCTTTTAAATTGGATATTTCTGTTGCTGCTACTAGTATAAGTTATTCTTAGTGATTAAAAGTGTATGGTGACACCACATTAATAAGCAAACCCTGTGCTAATGGTATGGAATGGTTCATGCGCCTCAAGATATTTTATTCTTTAGAAATCAGCAGGAAAAGAACCCTTGTGATTTGTTTGACCCCTCCACCTTCGTAGTTTGTAATCTCAGAATTGTTAGTGGGAATAGTACTTTGTTATATGAGAGGTGCTTTACTCTTAAAGGGTCTTACAGGGCTTTAAAAAGATAGGTGTGAAACCACTTTTATTTGGGACTCACCATTTGACTAAGTCAAAAACGAAGCGAAAGGGAACAAAAGGAAGAAAGAAGGAAATGAAATGAAAGCCTTGAAAGCACAAGCGGGTCAGGCTCATGCGAGGCTGCTTTTCCTTTAGGCCATTCCCTCGGAGTTGGTAAGAAGAGAAGCTCATTTCCTTTTTTCCCCTCCAATCAGATTGAATTGGTACATTTAGGTATACATAATGATCACCCGAACTCATCACAAAGAGTGTGTACCTGTGCGATACAACCTGCTTCATTTTCCCCACTCCCCTGCCCTCCTTCGACCCCTCCTCCTGTCCCCATTTATAGAAGCTTTGTCTCTGTTTTTCCTTCTAATTTTTTTTTCACTTTTCCCTTTCCTGCCCCTCTCCCTCACCCTTGGTCCCCTCCCCATTTGAACATCTTCCTGTTTCACAATACCTGTTATACACTCTGGCCTTATACACTTGGAGAGCCCATTTCTGGTCAGCATTTGGCTTGGAGGGAAGCCCTGTGTTCTGACCAGTGGGCATCAAGGGCTCAGTGCCACTTTCCCTAGATGCTACTCCCTGTTTCTTCACCAGAAAGTCTTGGCTGCCTCCTGGAGTAATTTTTACAAATTGAAACTCAAGCAGCAGAGATTACTTTTAAAAGTTTCTAATTTTGTTCGTGGAAACACTTTGGATCAAAAGAGATATTTTTATGACCTTTGAGAATGAAAACAAGTATTGAAAATTAGATGATAGTATGTAATTTCCAGTTGTTAAAAGAACATGATTTCTCAGAACGTATTGCCGGCAGCTTAGTTTAGAAAATGAAAAGTAGTTAAATGGAAAATTCATTTGTGTAAATGGCTATAAAGGGATTATTCATATTAAAGAGGAGGAGAGAGCGTTTTGGGGGGAGTGGTGGTCATGGGGATTGAGCCCAGGCCTTGCTCTGAGCTGCCTCCCCAGCCACCCTGTGCCCTTGAGATAAGGTCTCCCTAAGTTGCTGAATTGCCCAGGCTGGCCTTGAACTTGCAGTCCTCCTACCTCAGGTGCCCAGAGTGCTACATTACCGCTATGCATTACCTGTCCAGCCTGGGATCAACTTTTTTCTTTTTGAACTGTCAAGCAAAAAGGGGTTTTGTGCATTATTACTGTCATAAAACTAAAATTTAGTCTTGGGATAAGTTACAACACTTTTTATTATCTTTTTTAGTGCAAATCATGCCTTTGTTATTTATTACCAACTGAGAAAATTTAAAAATGCATGTAACAATAATGAATTCATTTAAATTTTAGTAGTGTTGATGGTTACTACAAAAATAGGCTACAGATACGTATATAATAGATTGTTTAGCCTGTTACATTTTGCTGCAGGTAATTTCACAAAACCCTAAGGCAGCAGTCCTGTCTCCCCGTGGTCACAGAGCCATGAACTTGTTGCGTGCATTTAAACGTGTTGTGTTATGGGCGTGCACTTTATTATGTGTTGTTCACTGAACGTGTTCCCTTTTTTTCAAACTTACATTAGCAACAGCTTTTACAGCAGCACATAAAAAGCAAAAGACCACTGGTGAGAAATGTCGCTACTCAGAAAGAGACTAACGCCGCAGGTCCTGATAATCGGTCCAAAATTGTGCTTCTGGTAGATGCATCACAGCAGACAGGTAAGGCAGCGGTCCTCTGGTGTCACCGTGCTTGTCTGTTTGCCATGTGTGTAGTAAATGTGAATGTACCCCTTTGCAGGGTTCCAGACTCCACCCTTTGTCCTGCCACTTGGCGAAATTCTGTAGGAAGCATAAAACCATCCATGTCCTTCATGTTCTTCCAACTTACTTGTTGGTTTCTGTACCCTTTGAGCAGGGCTTGGGATTTTTTTCTCTTTCTAGCAGTGAAGCAGTTCAGAAATCAGAGATAGAATTCAGCAGATATTGTACAAATTTGAAGGGTTCACTTTGGTAAAAATAAATATTGTCCATGTGTTTATAACTAGATTAAAGCCCTCCAGAACATTCTAACACCCTGTAACTTCTTTATGGAAAGAATTTAGAGGGTTTCCTATGCCACATTTAAGCACAGATCTGAGCCAGACCTGCAAGCGATAATTACATCCCATCAAAAAAATAACATTTTAAAGTAGTCAGACAATTATTTAAAACATTTTAAGACTGTGTATAAGCAGTTAGACCCTGATTCACATTTAAAAGTGTGTTATCCTAACAGAAGATAAGAGCTAATACCCTTACAGTACCCTGGGTCCCGGAGTCCCTGCCCCGCAGTTCCAGTCTGTGCCTCTGGCTTGGGCTTCCGTCTGTGGAGCAGGTGGCCATCTCCACTCAGCATTGTCGCTGACACGCGATGAAGTCCTTGTTCGTAGTCCAAGGTCAAGAATGAGGTCTGTTCAAAGCACAGTTGCTTTTTGTCTCTTTAGCCTCAATTCCAGTAAGGTCTGGGTTGAAAGGAGGAGGACAGCTCATAGTCTTTTTCTCACTCACGCCAAGCCTTTTCTGCTGGCTGTCCACTCCTATCCTTTTATAGTCATTCAGCCCCCCTGAGGGAATCAGGTGGACAGCCATCTTGTTGATAGGACAGTGGCTGTGTGCTTTGTGCGGTATAAAGCCGTGAGTGTAACTGGTAAAAGCTGTGTGGTCATGGAGAGGAATCACCAGGTGCTGGGCCAGGGATGTGGCTCAGTGGTAGAGTGCTCACCCTGGGTTCAGCCCCAGGTCTGCAAATGGGAGAAAGGAATCACTAGGTAATGTAGTCCTAAGTTTTCTCGGTTGGTTATTCTTAGTCACAGTGACCCACTTTTACAGCCTTTGAACCCTGGGAAGATTTTATTTTAAAAAGTTATCCTTACTGCTTTAGTTGGTTCACTAAGGCCCTAAAGCCAATCTTCTGAAGTGTAACAGTTGGAAAGTAAAAGATGAAGGCATAATTTGAGAAGACTGTACCTGCTATCAATACTTTTTTTTCCTGTCGGTTACTTGTATTTAGTTTATTTTTAGTTTCTGAGGGTTTATTAAAATTAATGAGAGAATTTTATATTGTAGTTTGATAAAAATACTCGAGGTCTATTTGTAACAAATTTTTACTTCTGAACATAAGCTTGTATTAAGAGTTTAATACATAGCATATATAAGGTAATATAGAAAAGTTCTCTGCATTTCAGTATGCCGGCAAAACAAAATTTAAGAAGGATACCACTTACAAAGCAGCTAAATAGAGTTTCTGTGACTAAATTCTAGGGACATGTGAGGCACATACGCAGAAAACTTAAGTCTTTATGATAGGACCTTACAAAAGCCTCAGTGCCGTGTCCCTATAGGACAGCTTGGCACGGCAGAGGCCAGCCGTGTGGGACAGAAATCCCAGCAGGGCCTCAGGGGAGTTTGACAGAGTAATTCTCAGACAAAGGAGCAGTAGTCTGAGAAATTTCCAGGAAATCCTTGGAAAAGCACTTCTCCTTTAGAGACTACGATTTAAAGCATGCGAATTCCTGTGGGGTTATATTATCGGTGCAGACAAGAATTAAACAGAGAGCCAGAAACAGCTGTCCTGTATAAGTAGAAGACATACATGGAAAACCTTGGGGAAAGCATGCCGATGCCTAACTCGCGCCCCCTCAGACCCATTCCAGGGTGGCTAAGGGCTGGAGAAGAGTGATGATGGAAGAAACAGGCAGATGTTTGTGTGGCTGTAGGGATAGCCCTACGTCTAAAACTAAAAATGTTAATTCTTACTAAAAGTGAGTAATAGCCAGGCGTGGTGGTGCATTCCTGTAATCCCAGCACTCAGAAGGCTGAGGCAGGAGGATCGCTTTGAGTTCAAGGGTAGCTTAGGCTACATAGTAAAACCCTGTCTAAAAAGGAAAATGAATAACAAGCCAGTTTGTAGAAATACTTTACCATGTAACACTGACAGATTTGTTGACCATGTAAAAAACCCTCACAAAGAATTGTATGAGAGAAAGAATTTAAAAGACTCACTAAGACAACAATCTGATACTGCCCTTGAGGCCTGTGGAGCAGAGTGCCAGGGACTGAAGCAGCTTTGCAGGGCTATAGTAGCTTTCCCTGTTGAATGTATTCCAGCAGAATCTTCCCTCAGAGAAGGGGCTGTTTGACTTAGAGTGCATATTACTGTAATCCCAGCTACTAAGGAGGCTGAGGCAGGAGGATCACAAATTCAAGACCATTCAGTGAGATCCCATTTCTAAATAACAATAAAAAGGGATGGGATATAGATCAGTGGTAGAGCACTTGCTTAGCCTGTACAGGCTCTTGAGTTCATTCCCCAGTACTGGCAGGAAGAAAGCACGTTTTTGTGGTACAAGAACACTGAAACATTTTTAGTGTCCTTTAGCAGGTAATAAGTCGTAAAAATAGAGTACCCACTTAATAGAATCTGAGGCAGTCTTCTTGTACAATCATAAAGAAATTATAACATGGATATATTACAGAGCACAAGACTAAACTGTGTCACTGTTATATAAAGTCAGGCGTGGGGAGAGGTGGAGAAAGAAAAGCTTACGATATGCTGGGAAATGATTTTATTTTTATTTATTTATTTATGTATTTGCTTTTTGAGACAGCATTTCACTGTGGGATTCAGGCTAGTCTTGAACTCATTTTGTAGCCCAGGCTGGCCTTGAACTCACAGTGATTCTCCTGCCTCAGCCTCCTGAATGGTAGGGATTACAGGCGTGCGCCACCATTGCTGGCTCTGGGAAATGATTTTGAAGGGTTTTTTTGGCCTTTTTTCAGAACGTTTTACTGTAAATTAATAATATGTAGGGTTTTTTGTTTGTTTGTTTTTTGATGTAGGGTCTCACTGTATAGTGTAGACTGGCCTTGAACTCAGGGCAGACTTCCTACCTCAGCCTCCTGAGTGCTGGGACTATAGGCATGCGCTACCACGCCCAGCTCTTCTCTTTTTAAATTTTGAGATAGGGTCTTACTAAGTCACTGAGTTGCTCAGGTTGGATGAGCCACCTTCTAAAATTTTACATATTGTCGGAATTGTGGTCTGGGGTCTCTTTCTCTCTGTCTCTCTGTCTCTGTCTGTGTCTGTGTTTCTGTGTCTCTGTGTGTCTCTGTGTGTGTGGTACTAGGGATTGAACCCAGGGCCTTTGCACTGAGCTCCATTTCTAAACCTGTTTTCACATTTTTTATTTTGAGACAGGGTCTATCTAAGTTGTCCAGGTTGAGCTTCAACCTGTGATCCTCCTGCCTCAACCGCATAGAGGGCTGGCATTACCGTGTGCACCCCACACCAGCTGTGTCTTTTTCATTGTCTTGTGACCTTATTTCACCAGAAGTCACCAGTTTGGTCCTCACAAAGAGTCGCTGTGCTTCTTTTGACTTGTAGATTTCCCGACAGATATCGCTAACAAGTCCCTCTCCGAGAGCACTGCCCCCATGCCGTGGAAGTCCAAGGGCAGGAGGAGAAGAGCGTCCCACCCCACTGCTGAGTCCTCCAGTGAGCAGGGTGCCAGCGAGGCCGACATCGACAGTGACAGCGGTTACTGCAGTCCCAAGCACAACAACAGCCAGCCTGCAGCGGGCGCCTTGAGAAACCCTGACCCTGGGACTGCAAGTGTACGCGTCTGCCTGGGTTTCTGTCAGCCACTGCTTCAGGGTTGTGTGCTAACGCAGATGCTGATGGAGCTACTTTTGTTAGTGCAGCCTAGTGCAGGAAGTCGGTTAAAAGAGATTTTACTGTCTGCTCAGTGTCTCAGTTACTTTCATTGTTGCTGACACTAAATACCCGACACCCAGAGTTACAGGAGGAAAGGTTTACTGCAGCTCATAGTTCGTAGAGGTTTCCGTCCAGAGTTGGCTCCAAAGCAGGGTGGCTTGGCAGAGAACAGTTCATGGCAGGCAGAAGGCAGCAAGGCAGTGAAGCAGCAAGCGAGAGCAGCAGCCTCTTCCTGTCCTTACGTTCTGTGCAGGCTACGTGCCCGTAGGCCGGGTAGCACTCACACTCAGGGTGGGCCTTCCCGTTACCCACACCCAGAACTATGCCAAACCAATCGGTGGACTAATTTAGTAATCACAGTTCTGAATCTCAGCCTCACACGCTCTTGGTCCAGCCACCTTGGGCCACATGTGGCATCTAGATACGAGCCACAGCAGTCAGTAATAAAAACATTTATGGAGGAGTTAGTCTTCAGTTACCCTGAGTGTGCTTCACATAAGACTGTTGACTCTTCAGTAGGAAGTAATTGTGTGTTTTGTTTCTCATTCTAGCACGCGGAATCATCTATATGTGCAGGTACTTATTTTCTGCAGAGTTTTTGCTCTGTTTTCTTCTTTGTCCATGTCATAGTTTTTATTTTGAGTCTTGCTGGTACTGGTGAAAACAAAATCTTCCAGATTATCAGCTTGTTTGAAAGTACAGTTTTGCCAGACAGATGGAGAAATGCCAGCTGGGGTTCCTGGAGAGCATAGTCTGTGTCACTGACAACTGCAGCACCACTTCAAGTTGACACAAAACGTTTTTGTGACTTAATTTCAGGAAATGAAGTTATAAGGCAGCTTAGATTTTGGCTTTTTCTGTAAGCAAAGCATGTCTTTATAGCTCTTTAAATATTTGTTACAGGTGGTGCAAATTGGTCCAATGTAACTTGCCAGGCAACTCAGAAAAAACCTTGGATGGAAAAAAATCAGACGTTTTCTAGAGGTGGAAGGCAAACTGAACAAAAAAATAATTCACAGGCAAGTTGAATTAAGGTGGGGAAACTTGGTTAGGTATGGGATGAATTCATTTAAATTTGTTACGGTAGTAATGTCATTATGAAGGACAGTATCCTTAATTTTTGGAGCTATGTAGTATTTAAAAGTGAACTATCATGATATCTGTAACTTTAAATGCCTTGGCCAATAAAATATACTTAAATACTGAGACAAAATAGTAAAATGTTGATAAATGTGATTAGTACCTATTACACAATTTTTCTACTTTTTTATGTAGTTTACACTTTCATAGTTTTTAAAAGAGAAACCTAGTACTACTACATCTGCTGTATCTTTTTGTTACCCATATACAAGTTTTAATTTTTTTTTTTTTGGTACTGGGAATCGAACTCAGGACCTTGCACTTGCCAGGCAGACGCTGTGTCACTGAGCTATATCCTGGGCCCTATACAAATTTTAAAAGCATTGTTTTATTGTTGTTCAGTGTTTTGAGATGGTATCACTTCGTAGTAGCTTGAACTCACTGTGTAGCGCAGGCTGGCCTTGAACTCTCCACCATCCTTCTGCTGGGATAATGGGCCTGCGCCACCAGGCTTGGCTTTAAAACTATTTAATGCCTTAAATGTTGATCTTTGAACTTGGTACTGCAGCTTTGCCAAGCCGCGTCTGTGTTAATGGCGGTGCTGTGGTGATGGCCGCCCCGGGCCACTGTGGAGGGCAGTGGCTTCCTGAGCATCCTTGCGGAGCTGGGACAGCTGCAGAAGGGGGCTGTGCGCCTGCTCGAGCCTCCAGTCACCGCATTCGATGGCTGGGAAAGCCGGGAATTCGTGATTGTCCAGTGTTTTTCCTTTTCATTTTTAGATAACGCTCCTGATTTCCTAAAGTCTAGTCAGAACTAAAGCTGTGGGTGACTCGCTCTGTGGATGGCCTGCGCGAGAGCGAGTTACGGACGGCTTACACACGAGAGTCAGGACAGCACCCTCTCCCCTGTGCTCTGTGTCTTGGGAGGCAGGCTCTTTTAGCTTTGTTTGAGTAGAAACAAAAGAGCTAAAGTAGTCCTTTATATAGATGAGAGACAATCTATAGAACATCCACTTACCTGCAGGAATTTTCTGTTGAAACTGTAACTGCTTGTCTTGGCAAGCTTGCAGGCCCTGCACTGTTCCCTTTAGTATCAGCAGCCCCTAGAGAAAAATAATCCGGGGAGGAAAAACCTTCTGTCTCTGTCTCTTAACTTGTGAAACACGGTAAAAGAACAAAAAAGAGATTTAAGCAAATATACACCGGTGTTGTTTATTTTGTGTCTCTCATCATCCTGAAGAACTGGAGCCAGTGTTGACAATGACAGTGTGTTTGTTTTCTCTCCTACTTCCGATGATTTGTTACCTCAAATACTTGCCTTAAGTAGATATTTGTTTGGTTTTTTTGAGATGCGGAATTATTTTTTCTTTTAGGTAAAACAATTTCTGGTTGTTTTTAAGCTTTAAAAGTCTTTTAGAAGTCAAATAAATACTTACCTGTATTTTCCTCCACCTTTTTGCCATATAGTGTAATAGTTTAAGACATTTTTGTCTGAGATTTATCTTGATGTCTGGTGAAACATACGAGTGTAGATTTTCAAAGTAAGTGATGAGCTGTGTTCTCTTTGGAACCCATTTATTCTCGTTCGTTTCTGTGTCTCACCTTTACTGATTCTTACATTTTGGGGTCTGTTTCTTGTCTGTTTTGTTCCATTTGTCAGATTTTTACATTTTCATCAGTCTGTTGAATTAGAGTGATTTTAAAGATTTTTGCTAGTATTTTAACATTTCATACTGTCAGACACTTCTGTACTGTAGGTTTAAATTACGGAAAGAATCTAAAAACTTACACTTGGTAAATGGCTTTGCTTGCGAATAATTTGAAAGGGAGATGGAAAGACTGCGCAGCCAGACAGCTGTTTTACCCGCCCCCTCCCCCGTGCTGCTCCCCTTGGACCAGTTTCCTGCGTCCTCTTTTGCCGTTGTACAAACGGGAGGATCCTGCGTTTCTGTCCTCTTCTTACGTAGAAAGTCACATGTCCTCTGTGTTCTGTGTTCAGGGATACACTTTGGAGAGATTTCTATCGTTTCTTTTTTGTTTTTGGAGACAGGGTCTTGCTGTGGAGTTTAGGCTGTCCTTGGACTCATGTGTAGCCCACGCTGGCCTCAAACTCTTGGCGATCCTCCTGCCTCAGCTTCCTGAGTGCTGGGATTACAGGTGTGCGTCACTGCGCCCAGCTGTTGTCCTGTATTTCTGCCTAGCGGGCTTCCTCGCTGTTTTCATGTATACTGCTCTACGTTGTGTGGACGTGCCCTCGACTCCTCGAAGCCATCATCGATGCTTGAGTGGTCGTAAACCGTTGCTGCAGTGTTGTTATATTACAGAAAACAGACCGAGCGTGGGAAGAGATCGCACTGAGGAGTTTTTGGAGGCGGTTTATTATCCTGGAAGGCTTCACTGGGATCTCTCCCAAAGAATTAGAGCCCCACCCAGTGGGGTTCGGGTGTTCCTATAGGAAGAGCAAGTGGGAGGTATAAAAGCAGGTACGGTGTATATAATGGTAGGGTTGGGTGTCATCATGAGTTACTAGGGGAGCTTAAACATTTCAAGTTACATTGCAAGGCCATCAGTCACACAGAGACAGAGGTTACATTTCAAGTTATATTGCAAGGCCACCAGTTACACAAAGGAAGGAGTGGTCAGTTATCAGACTTGCTGGACATGCTTGCTTGGTCTTGGTGGGCATTCTTGAAGGCTTTTATTTAAAATTTTAATTTCCCCCTGTAGTTGAGGTGGCTGCTCAGGTCTGCCATCATTTACTGAAAGGGTCATCTCCACTGACGTGAGCAAACCACCTGTCAACCTACTAAATTTTCCCATGTGTTGCAGTCTGCTCCTGGGATTTCTTTTGTCACCCTCGTCTTTAGTCTGTATACGCACAGAGAGGGAGCTACCTTACTGATGCAGTGTCTTTCTCTACACATGCATTTGGAGCCACGTGTGGTGGTGCACGCTTACAGTCCCAGCTGCTCAAGAGGCTGAGGCGGGAGGATCGCTTGAGCCCAAGTGGTTCACGATCAGCATGGGCAGCGTAGCAAGACCCTCTCTAAAAACACAAGGGGGGCAGCTAAAAGCATTATACCTCCCTTTGTCACCCCAGGAGTGGGGATCGAACCCAGGGCCTTCACACTGAGCTACATCCCTAACCCTTTTCTAAGGTTCTGTTTTGAGACAGGGGTCTTATTAAGTTGCTAAGTTACCCAAGCAGGGCCCAAACTTGCACTCCTTCTGCCGCAGCCTCCCAGAATGCTGGTGTGTGCCTCACACCTGGCTGTCTTCCTATTTTTCAGTCATGTTTTTGTGCTCTTCAGCAGGGTTGTGAAGTTGACTGGTACAAATTCTTCATATATCAATCCCTGGTGGTTTTGTTGTTGTTGTTGTTAGTATATATAGCATGTGGAGAGTCTTGAGAATCTCAATATGTATTTGAACTTAGAGTCCTGCTTTGTTTATTCACTATGCCCACTTTCTGTCCACAGGACTCTTAGGAGAGCTGATAAAGCGTGCTTGGCCGTTCTGTATTTGGTTCGTTCAGGAGCCTGTGGGAATATTTTTAGCTGTTTGGTCCTCTTGAGCTTTGCTGAGACTGTTAATTTGGGGGATTTAATTTAATTGTGAAATTTTTGCCTCCAAGTGTGAGAGTCAAGTTCATTTTTTGCAGCGGGTGGAGGCTGGGTTTTTTTGGGGGGGTGCATTTTTTAAAAGGAACTATTTCACTGCACGAGTGCACAGGGATTAACGGTGGCTTACAGCAGCAAGCAGGAGAGCATGTGGTTGTGTCTCCATCTGTATGTCTGGTTTCACAGTTCAGGGCCTGCTCCTGGTCTGCTTCAAGTTCTGCTTCCTGTTAGAACTCTGAGGTTAACAGAGTCCTTGCATTTCTCATCTTTAGCTGTCCTTTAAGAGGCACTCAGTGTCAGCCCGACTGGGTACTTGGGAGAGTGGAAGTGCCGCAGTGCTAGATGGGCTTTTTCTTGCCCTTATGAGAGTTGAATGCCCGCCAGCGTGGTTAGTGGATGCTCCCTGCGTCGGTCCGCTGGTAGAAGGCGCTGTGGACTTGTGGCCGTGGACAGGAGCTCCTTCCTCAGGTGCAGGGGCTGGAAGCCAGCGTGCACAGTGCTGGGAGAGCCACGTCTGGCGAGGCCGCTTCCGCAGGTGGAGAGGTGGAGCGCCCTCAGGGTCCTTCTGTAAGGTCACTGATCTGCTCCCCCGGCCCTGCTCTCATCCCTGAGCCCTCAGCTTCTGAAGACTCTGCCTCCGAGGCCATCGTGTCGCCAGTTAGGGTCTCAGCATGTGGATTTCGAGGGTTACAAACGTGCTCTGTAACGGGGTAGTCCTTGGAAGGATTACCTAACTGGTAAGAAGTTTTAACTTTTTAGCAACGTTTTGTACTTCGTTAAGATTCATTAAGTTGGGGATATAGCTCAGTGGCACAAGTACCTGTGTGGCAAATGCAAGGTCCTGAGTTCGATTCCCGGTACCAAAAAAATTAAAAAATTTTTTAAAAAGTACAATTCATTAAGTTATATGCTTCTCTGTACTTTGTCTGCAAGTGTTAAGTATGCATAGAAATAATAAGACTTTCTTTTCCCCCGGGGGTTTAGGTTGGCTTCAGATGCCGAGGACACAGTACTTCCTCAGAAAGAAGACAGAATTTGCAAAAGAGACAAGACAATAATAAGCATTTAAACCCTAGTCAGTCCCATAGAAGTGACCCAAATTCTGAGTCTTTATATTTTGAGGTATTTTTTCAAATTCTGTTTATAAATCATTATAGAAAATGTTCCCATAAGAAACTTAATTTGTTATATTGTAAGTGCAACTGTTTTTATGTCTTAACATGTGCCTCCAAAGTTAGAAATTACTCAGAAATATTAGCTGATTTTTTCCTTGGTTATATTTAGGCTAACTTCACTCATGTTTATGTTGATGAGGTTTTGTCAGGCAGGTTCATCTTGAGGTGCTGTGCAGAGGAGGACTTGATTTTATGTGGACTTCCTCCAGGAAGAAACATTTTCTCTTTTTCCATTCGTAAGGCTTTTCACGTCTGAGCAGTTCAGTCTAGTTAGTTTGTGCTGCTACGTGAGACACTAGGAGAAGGAGCAGAGATGAGTGCTTTCGGCAGCAGCAGGCCGTTCACATGCACGCTCTCCCCGCTCTGGCCTGAACGCTCGTCTGTCCCGCCAGCCCTTGTCGGCAGCCACCGGGGGTGTGGAGGAAGGTGGAGCACAGGGATGCACTCCGTGGGGAGGGTCCCTTGTGGATGTGGTCACACACACCCAACACACTCCAGGGGGGTTGGAGTGGGGAGTCGAGGCAAGGTTACTTGGAGTTTGTGGCAGAAGAGCAATACTTGGAATGGCTTTGAAAGAACAGCTGGACTTTGATATAGCAGACATCTTTGCTAACATTTGTGTAATTCATTTTGGTTGGTTCATAAATTCTATAAAATAGATTACTATTGGGCAATTAAACTGGACAGAAATGGAGGGTTTGTTCTTCATACCTTCATAATTGAGCCAAAAGACATTGGTCCATCTCAGTTACTGTGTCAAGAACAGTTTTAATATATCTACGTACGGCAGTTTTATTGTATGTACTGAGCTGTGTGATGGCCTCTTACTTACATTTCTGGTTTTTTGGTACCAGGAATCGAACTCAGAACCTTGCACTTGCCAAGCAAGGCACTGTACCACTGAGCTATAAATCCGGCCCTCATACTTACATTTCATTAATGACATGAGATAGACTTTTCAGTGTAAAGGAGGATGTTGGTTATGAAATTAATTTGGATAGAAAAGGATTTTTTCAACTTTTCAAATTTTAGTCTTGGAACTGTAGTACTGTGAGATAGGGACTGTATTAATACAATTTATATTAAATTGTTTAAAGTCTTCCAAATGACCTGACTGTAATGAAATCCAGTTAGAATGTTTTTTTAATTGCCTACTCATCTTAGGAAAGAACTAGAAATAGAAATGGAAAAGTAGACACTGAAATCTGAAGGCTGACATAAGCCTCCGTACTTAAACAAGTCAAGTGGCTGGGTTTTACCTGTGGGAAATGAAGGTTCCTTGTTAAGACTGCCTTCAAATAGTTCAACAGTAGAATACAGCAAGTTCATTCCCCATTTTTATTATTTCTAAGCATTGTGAAAGGTTTTTCTTAGGACTTTGCCATGAACTGATTTTACTTAACATGTGGACTGTTTCAGGATGAAGATGGGTTTCAACAACTAAGTGAGAACGGCAATGCGAAGGATGAGAATATTCAACAGAAACTTTCTTCAAAAGTAGTAAGTGCACCGTGGTGTACGGGATACAGTATGTTTAGCACTTACCTTTAATAGTGCTTTTAAAAGAGCCGAAGCAAAGATACTTCCCTGTGAAATCCACAGTCCCCAGCTAGAAAAGAGAACTCCATTCTCTGCGGAAATTCTTGAGTAGTGAGAGCTTCACGCGGAAGGAATTTTACTTTACTCCACTCAAGGATCCAGAGAAGCGTCCCTGTTGCGTCCAGCTGATGACGCTGTCTCTTCCTTCCCTGTCTATAGTGACCCAGGTTTTCCCTCAGTTCTGTGACACAATCTTCAGAGCCCTCTGAAGATCGCGGTCCAGTTACACTGAAGAGTGTCCTGCCTTCCCAGTTGCTGTTCCTTACAATTACACCCTGCGAGATCACTAACAAATGCTTTTCTCTGCTTACCATAGCTAGATGATTTACCTGAAAACTCACCAATCAATATAGTGCAGACTCCGATTCCCATCACCACCTCCGTTCCTAAACGGGCAAAAAGTCAGAAGAAGAAAGCTTTAGCAGCAGCTCTTGCCACAGCTCAAGAGTATTCGGAAATAAGTATGGAGCAAAAGAAGTTGCAGGTACACAGTCATTTCTGTGAGCAGTTGTGGTCATTATTTGCCACGTTTGGGAGGGAAAGGAGGGATGACAGATAACAGCCGTCGTAACTCATGTTCCACACTGTAGCAGGACACCAACATTTCCATGTACCTTGCAGGAAGCCTTATCAAAAGCAGCTGGGAAGAAAAACAAAACTCCAGTGCAGCTGGATTTAGGGGACATGTTAGCTGCCCTGGAGAAACAGCAGCAAGCAATGAAGGCGCGGCAGATCACCAACACCAGGCCTCTGTCCTGCACCGGTGAGGGCCATCCTCTCAGCATTTCCTGTCTGGCTTTGGCTGTGTTCACATATTGTCAGTCTGAAGCATCTGTGTGTGTGTGTGTGTGTGTGTGAGTGTTGAGTGTGAGAGAGAGAAGTCTGCTTAAATCACAAATCTTGAAATTGTCTGTATCCCCTCCCTTTGGACACTCAGCCCTTCACCGTCAGCACATCCTTTCAACTCTTCTTCTGCTCCGAAAACTAGTGCATCTGTGCTTGGTAGATCCTGTCTGTCACCCAGCAGCACCCTCACGGTATAGTACTGCTGTCTACTCCTGACCCTACCTCCCCAGTCCCTGTTGTGTCTCAAAAAGACCTGGGTTATAGCATCGCATGGCTCTGAACCCTCTAGTAGCTCTGCTACTCACTTGGAGGAGGGCCACAGTCCTTCCTAGGGCCACATCTTTGCTGGCCTTGGACCTTCTGCCCTTTGTCACCATTTCCCCCTGACACTGGGCCTGGCCGCGTGAGCTGTGCTGCATTAGCCCCAGCACACTCCCAGCCCGGTGTCTGGGCCCGCTCTTCCCTTTCTTGGAGTGCTGCCTACCTGGAAGTCAGTATTGTTTGTTCCCTCCAGTCCCTCACATCTCTGCTTAAATGTCACTTGGTGTGCATTTTGAACCAACCATATTTTTTTCTTCTTCAAAGGTTAAAATAAAAATCACAGGCAGTTTGGCCCTCTTAACTGTTCAGTGATCCAATTTAAATTAAGTGGCAGCAGACGCTTTGACCAGTCTCTGTGTGTATATGAAGAATGCCCTGGTTTTGCACTGAGGCAGCGATTCCTGTGTTAACAAACTTGGGCAGATTTAGTGTTCTCCATGGCCCTCATGTGCTCACTCATTTCCTCTTTATCATCTTTGCTTTAGGGGTTAAGGAATAGGACGGAGGGAAGGGAAAGATGTCAATAAAAAAGCTTGAATACTGAGGCAGAATGGATTTTCTGTTCTGTTCCACTGTGAAGGGACTGCTGCTTAGTGGAAAGATAAGTGACAGTGTGCAACTGTACGCGTATGTGCAGAATCTTTAAGTCTGTAGCTAGTTCCCAATCCAGTGTAAGCCTTCGCTGGCACTGTTAGCAAAGGTAGGCAGATTGTACACTGAGCTTCAGCCCACGTGGTGGAGATGGGCGCACAGCAGTGAGGGTCCCCAAGTCTCCCAGGCGAGGGCCCCAGGAGGAGACCAGAGAGTTCCCAGTGTTTCGGAGAGCCGGGGCTGGTAGCTAACACAAGGGTGGAGGGGCTCGGGGTGTGGGGTTTGCATCCTGCTCCTCCGTGTGTTTGTTCGTGCACTTCCCTTCCCTGACAGGAAGTGGGGGCGGGGACAGTACCTCCTGCAGCCCTTTGGAGGAAAGGAAACGAGAAGATGTGAGTAAAGTGCCCGGAGAACCTGGGCTGTACTCACTCAGCACATGGGGACTCATATCAGGATGATGCAGAGGTTGGCAGCCTGGCCTGTTGTTACAGTTTGGATTCATTTAGCAAATGCTAATGTATAAAAGTATAGATACAGGTATCTGCGTAAAGCATGCTATTAGGAAGTGTTGGGATTACCGAGATGCTGAAGATACACTTTTGTTTAAGAGGTTTATAATCTAGTGGGAGACGAAGACATACACAGACAACTAACCAAGAGCAATCCCTGAGGAAAGATAGCAGCAGAGTTCATGGGCTTGCAGAAGACCGTGATTCTTGTCGACGGAGGCGTGAGAAAGGCGTGAGATGACTTTGCGGGAGAGGGCCTTTGAACTGGGCTCTGGAGGGAGCGTGGGGTACTTGACACAGAGGAATGAGGTTAACCTGAAGCAGGAGAACTGTAGGCTTGAGCCCAGCCTGAGTAACTCTTTGAGGCCCTGTCTCAAATGAAGAATTAAAAAAGGGCTGTCATTGCCGCCGGGTACCAGGAGTGAGGAGGAAGGGGAGGGAGGGAAGGAAGGAGGAAGAGCAGAGCGTGTGACCGCTGCACATCATCAGCATTTAGAGCGGGAAGTGTGGCTTGTGAAGGAAACTGGGAGGTCCCGGGGAAAGGTTAGTGTGGTGCAAATTCCAGGGGGTAAGGGTCGGTGGGGTCGTGAGGCAGGGCATGGGACAGGCCAAGCCGAGTTGCGTGCTCTGGGCTGATGCATGCAGTTCAGCTCCAGGCTGGGAAAGACTCCAGCTGGGGACCCTGTGGCTGGGACCCTGCGGTGGCGTCGGCTTGGTTGGGTCGGTCCGGATGTGAAGCAGCCAGTGGGTTCGAGTGGAGTGGAGGCTACAGCAGTGAGGTCGTGTCGAGAGGGTGGTCTGGGTGAGGCCTGGCGCGCTCTGGGCTTGCAGCACGGAAGGAAGGACAGAAGAGGCTGGTGGGAGGCCTGGTTTCTGCTCCGTGCTCAGCGCTTGCCCGGCGCACAGGCCCCTGGGGATTCTCTGGGCTGACAGCAGGGGCGGGTCTCAGGGCAGGTGCTGCATCCTGGGTATGAAACGCTGGAGGACCAGGGACGGGGTGAAGACTGCATTCTCTGGGCTGTCTGGCTGTGCATGGTCTGCACAGGGACGGCGTAGGGTGGAGGTCCGGTTCAGCGGGGTGAGTGCATTTTCCTGGACAGCTGGGCCTTTGCCGCAGCCAGAGTCTGGGTTCGGGGATGCAGGATGTGGGAGGATTGGGGCAGCTGTCCTCTCACATTCAGAAGTGGCAGGTGGCACCGGAGTCAGTTGAGGATGGACCACCATTCTTTATCAACAGGAACCTGAGGAGAGAAGTTGGTGTGGTAGCACAGTATTCTGGGAGGCTGAGGCAGGAGGATGGAAAGTTGGAGCCCAACCAGGGCATCTTAGGAAGATGCCGTCTCAAAAAGGGTTGGGGATGTAGCTCAGTGGGAAGGCCCTGAGTCCAATCTCCAGTACTGCCGCCCAAGAACAAAACGACACGCCGCAGTGTCTCTGTAGAGATGGAGGTCTGTTGAGTAGGAGTGAGGAGCAGTGCGAGGCTGGAAACCTCGTGGGGAGGATGGTTCGGGTGGACTTTGCGCGTCGCTGCGACAGAGGAGAGGACTGTATCCCTGCTTTGGGCTGCCATGTGCCCGGCTGCACGGCGGCCTTGGCTTTGCCTTCCTCACTTCACAGAGGGGGGAGGGTGGGCAGTAGCTGCGTCCCAGGGATGCCACGCTGGCACTGTGCCTGTTGTCTGTCCCATGTCTGTCCTTCTTATAGGAAGAGGGTGCTTTTATGGACTTACCATTGGAAACTGAAAGTCTGTGGAACTGGTTGTAATAGTGAAGGGATGGTAGTAATGTTCTTGTTTGTTTTTAGTGGTTACTGCAGCTGCTTTTCACACTAAAGACTCTGCTACCAGAAAACCTTTGACCAAGAGTCAGCCCTGTTTGACGTCCTTTAACGCTTTGGACATTACTTCGTCTAAAACAAAAAAAGGAAGAGAGAAGGAAATTGCAAAGTTAAAAAGACCCACAGCACTTAAAAAGGTAATCTGAAACCTGGGGATATTTTACTTTACAGGCTATATAAAGGGTTTAAGTCTGGTTTTCAAAAATGAGTTGTGTGTTAACTAGTAGATTATTGTGAAGTATTCATAGATGTGCATTTTCCTAAAGAGTAGTTAATTCAGACTGGAGAGACCATCATCTTTATAACAGTCTTTCAGTGTGGAACAGGGTCCTAGAGAATGAATTTTTTTCTATAACGTTTGAAAAAACCCACTTAAACATTTAATAACTCTGACAAGCCCTGTATGTGGTTGGCTATTTCCGTTTGCTTGTTGGTTTTTCGCTCTCTTTGTAGTACTGGGGATTGAACCTGGGGCCTCACGCAGTCCAGTCGTCTTCTCCAGTGAGCCCAGTGTCAGCCCCAGCTGTGTATCTTAGTACACGCGTCATCGCTCGCTCTCTGCTGTACATCATGTGGGCAAACGTGTTTATCTTCATCTGCTTCATCTGTAAATAGATAATACACCTGCTGCAGTCAACTCCCAGTTGTTCTGAGAATGCAGTCACCCACGTCCAAATAGTTGAAAACTGAAATATAAATCAAATGAACTCTACAAAGTGGTTTTCAAGCCAGTTTACACTTAAATCATTTCTTTTGGAAACTCAGTTTATCACATCGGGTTAGAGAATGAAGTACAATAGATGTGATTTGATGCTATATGTTCTCAGGCGGCTCTTTATTTTGGGTGCCGTGTTTCCTTCAGCTTCCAGTGCCTACACTGACATTTGGGGGGCAGTTTCTACATAGCCAAGCAGACGCACAGCCACTACAACCCCCAGGCCTGCATTTGTGTGAAGGCCCGCGGCTCTGTTAGATGCGCTGTGCTGCCCCAGAGTTGAAGAGCGATCAGTAAAGACTGCTGTAATGACTTTTAGGTTATTTTGAAAGAAAGAGAGGAAAAGAAGGGCCGATTGACAGTGGACCACAGTCTTTTGGGATCCGAGGAGCCAACAGAACTGCCTTTGGATTTTATGGATGATCTGCCCCGGGAGATCCCCTCCCAGGAAGGTAGGGACGCCCCTCTCTGCTCTCCACGTGACACCATCCAGAGCAGGGCATGGCCTGCGCCGGCCTGGGCTGCATGCGGAACCTGTAACACAGCTCGTGGATGTGAGGGCTCAAGCTGCACGTACGGTGTCTTAAAAAGCAGCTACATAAACATAAAATGGGCCAGGTATTTGACCTCCTTTTGAAGCTAACACATCAACGTCTGGTTTGACAGAAGCGGTTGCAGTTTTTAGTTCTCAAAGTGCTCGTCAGGATGTCTGCTCTGATTTTACTCCTAGTGTACTTCAGTTTTAGCCCCCCACAAGTATGCTGGGCCTTGGGTTTAGCCAAGGTCCTCCTGCGTGTGACCCCTGTGCTATAGCACGGCCTTGGCACAACGAAGGCTCGCTTTAGAGTTCTTGTAAAAAACAGAAGGAAGCAAGACCGTGAGTAAGCTGTGATTGGGAAGCAAGGAATGTTTTCCTCTTGAAAGCCCGGTCTTACCAGTGTCTGGTAAAGGGACAGGATCAGATTTTTTTTTGATTAATTGATTGCAACTCTGTACATTCCAAAAATGAATAAGCAAGCAGCCATTTATTTTTCTAGTATGAGCTGTATTGTATATGTAATTATAACAGTATGATTTATTTGATGCATTTTTTGTAGTACAACAAAGCTGGTAAAAACCTTTTAACTTACTATTTTACAAAACAACAAGCCCAGGTTTAATAAATAAAATAACTTGCATGTCTTACTAACAGCACACAGCAGTCTCCACAGGCTCACGCATGCCTGGAGGGTTGAGATCATAGGCACACACACGCATAGAGGGCTAGGGGTTAGGCTCACACACGTAGAAGGTTGGGGTGCTGAGGTGTGTAATCGCCGTGACTTCCCGGCCAAGTCGCACCGCACACACTGTCCAATCACCACAAGCGCCAGTTCTGCTTACCGTGGGCGCAGGGAGGTGGTAATGCTGCCTCGGACCCTCCCCGTCAGCCTTGTGGTCTGGACTGTGTGGTCCGCACTGGAGCACCTCATCTGCATCGTACAGTAACCCTAAACATCACAGAGTCATACAGGTTCACAGTCTGGGGCTCATGTTACCAGCTTCTTTCCGGGCCCACACCTGGCCCCTGTGCCGTGAGCCGGACCCACCTGGCTCAGAGCATTTGAAGGATGGGGAAGCCACCACTAGTTCTGCTAAGTGGTGGTTGTGCTCCATACTTTACATAATTTCTTTAGTTTTGAAAGTGGTTTCTTCTAAATACAGTTTGACAGGGAGATGGCTAAAGTGGTGGCACGTGTTACGTAGTAGGTATATGTCACCTTTGAGAGTTCAATCTGGAATTGTAAACCTTCAAAATTAAGGTCTCAGCCAGACGTGGTGGTGTGCATCTGAAATCCCAGCGCTCAGAAAGTGGAGACGGGGATTGCCCTGAGTTTGAGGGCAGCCCAGGATACACACTGAGTTCAAGACCAGACTGGACTAAATAGCAAGAGTCTGTCTCAAAAAAGAAATTAAGAATTCACCAGTCCATCAGCTCACCTCTGGAACTTCATGGCTCCTTTCATTTTGTCTTACATCTAGAAACTATTGGTTATCTTTCTCTATAGGGGTATTTTTCATTGAGTCATTTTGTTAATTTTTGGGGGAGGGGCGGAAATTAAGACATATGCACAATGCGTATAGAATTGCAACACAGAGCCTAGTTGGTCAGTAAAGATTTAGTCCCTGTCAGTAATGAGTATATATGATTCCAGTAAGTAAGACGCAGTTCCGGATAGTAAGCATCTAGCACATGTGATCTTGTGGCATGTTGAAGTGGGATCTATGCATAGATTAAGCAGCTGCATTTTGCTGTTTGTAGAAAGTGAATTACTTCTAAGGATCATTTACCAGGACACGTTTGGTTAGGATTCCCTGGTTCTCAACTTAACATGGTCCCCTTGAATTTAGGTCTCCATCCATTCTCTCCTAAGTCCCCACTGAACATCTCCCACATGTACCTTTGGTCACCAGGGCGAGGGGAGATTGGGCAGTGGTTAAAAGCCGCGTGCAGGCGGGTCTTGCCCTCGGCAGCTCATAGTCCAGCAGGGAGCTGAGAGGAGGCATGGAGCTCTGCAGAGAGGGCCTCATCCCTGGGAAGAAGCGTAACTGAGAGAAGGCCACGTTGGAGTCAGGAGGTGGCGACTGGCACCTTGGTCTTGAGCATGGAGAGCCAGGAGGTGTGCAGGGAGCGGGCAGGTATCTGCTGGAGTGAGAGGGGAGAGGCAGCGATCCCTGAGATAGGTGGAGTGCAGAGAGGGGGTGACGCGACCGTAAAGAGGTGCAGAACTTTGTGCATAGTTAAATCCCGGGGAGTACACTTTGGATAACGTTGCTTGTTCTCATCTCCCCTATGGAGACTTCCAGGCTGTGTTATTTTTGTTTGTTTGTTTTGGGGTTTTTTTTCAGTATAATTTAATAGATAATAGGAAGTCTTAATTTTTGTAGTGTACAAGAAGTGTTTATTTGTGATAGGAAAAATGCCGAGCTTGTGAGCTTGTGACCCAAAGGCCAGCTGCTGTTCCAGATGTGCGGGTCAGCACAGTGCTCTCCAGCATTCACAGTCTGGATTCTTTCCCCCACCTCCGTCTCCACAGATAACGGACTGAGCATGCCCAGCGATACCTCGCTCTCCCCAGCGAGTCAGAACTCTCCGTACTGCATGACGCCCGTGTCCCAAGGCTCTCCTGCGAGTTCTGGGATAGGCAGCCCAATGGCATCGTCCACAATAACCAAGATCCACAGCAAGAGATTTAGAGAGTAAGTTTTTCTTCATCCCCCAGAGTAAGCATTTGAATCTTGATTATAGTTTGGAATTGTCATTGTTACTTGGGGAGTTGAGCAGGTGTAACTCAAAGAGCTCTAAGTCCTTTCTGACTGTCGAACAGCTGGCTTTGTGATGTATAAAGCAGTCTCTTCTTCAGTGTTGATGCAAGGCTATTGGCCAGTAAATACATTCTCTTTTTCTTTCTTTTTTTTTTTTTTGGTTTTTTCTCTGGTACCGGGAACCGAACTCATGACCTTGTGCTTGCCAGGCAGGCACTTTGCCGCTGAGCTAAATCCCCAGCCCCTACATTCTCTTTACATTGTGTTTCTGTCGAAAAAACCTGGCCTCATACATCTTACACATACAAAATGCACTATGTGTTTTTCCCTCTTCAGCTGCTTTTCTCAATATATTATTAGCCCTTTAAAGACTCTGACCAATTAATAACACGAGCTAGGCTTCTAGACCTTGTTACATGAAATGCACCGACTATATAAAGCATTTTTTTATGGTATTTTCTTTTAACCCAGGGCCTTGCACCAGGTAAGAGCTGTATCATTGACCTACACACCCAGCTCAAACTAGTTGCCTTTAAGCTGGTGATTTTTAGAATTGAGATAACTAAGAAATCACACAACATGACACGCCATCTGTGAATAACCTTTAACAGTTACTGCTGTGAAGTATTTTAGGGTTTTTACCATTTGTTTAATGAACTAGTTTTCCCTTTAAAAATGCCATATGAAAGAATCCCAGGGTGAGAGTGTGTATAATCTGTGAGAGTCCAAACCATATTGGTTCTGTTGCTTGTCCTTGTTCCATTGTTTTTGAGTGAATACTTCTTGCCTAGCTTTGAGAAGTTAATTAAATGTCAAATAACAGATGTGGAGCAAATGAAGAAGAAAATGTTACATATGACTGAAATGGCTTGAAAGTAAAAAGGAAGAACACTGCACTTCTGATGTTCTGTTCTGTAATTCTGAGTACTTTACAACAGCTCCCCTCTCTCAGTCTGTCCAGGTGTAGCTTTTCTTCTGAAGCAGTGCCGTACTGGTATTTACTTACGCATTGTTCACATAAAATTCCCAGCCCAGTATTTTTTGTAATGAAGGAGGTCAGGCCTAGATTTTCCCAGTATAAAACTTAAAAATGTGCCTTTGCTCGCCTAGTTACTACTTAATAAACTTAACCAAGTGTTGTTTAATACCCACTTATAGTGAAGATAAAGGATGAGAATGAGAGAAGATCGAAAGAGCATACAGAAAATGCCCTGGGTGACTTTCCTAACCGAGAGTGAGGATCATAATGACCTCCCACTCACTGCCTTGTGTTTGTCACAGCATAGCTGTCCAAGACGGCACAGAGGGCTCTTTGAGGAGCTTTGTCTGATTCAGAGGTGTGTGATGTCTGCCTCAAGGCGTCATTGATTTGGGCGTGGAACTATTCTGGTTTTTTTTGGTACTGGGAATCGAACTCATGACCTCAGGCTTACCGGGCAAGTGCTTATACCGCAGAGCTATGTCCCCGGCCTGGTGGAACTGTTCAGTTTGTTCTCCACAGCTCTAGGTCTTCAGAGCCGAAGGGGCACTGAGGCCTTTGCCTAACACCGTACTTTGTGTTTGAGAAATGCCCAGAGATTATCCACGGTTGGAGAGTGAAGGGTCGGTATTCAGACCCTGAGTTAGAAATTGTGTATCTTTCCAACCAGAAGCAGCTTAAACATTTTATCTGTTTTTGTCTCATAGCAGAGTAACATTTGGCTCTAGAAATTTAATAATTGGGATTTCGATAGTACTTCTGTGAGGTTAACCTATTCTTTACTAAATGGAGTTCATTTGGTTTGGTTTTTTTTCTGGTACTGGGAATCGAACTCACGACCTTGTGCTTGCCAGGCAGACTCTGTGCTGCTGAGCTAAATCCGCAGCCCCCTAAAGGGAGTTTGTTGAAAAGTTCAGAAACAAAGATAGTCTGTACCACTCTTCTGTTTTCTTGCTGCCTGGAGGATTTGGAAGTTTGAGGGACTTGACTTTTCACGAAAACCTCTTACTGGATGTATTTTCTCATAAAGCCATTTTCCTAATGCAGTTTTATACTTGCCGGAAGGTGACTCGGAAGGAGTTCACTGTTGTTCCCTTCACAGGTACTGTAATCAGGTTCTCTCCAAAGAGATTGATGAGTGCGTGACGCTCCTCCTCCAAGAGCTGGTCAGTTTCCAGGAGCGTGTCTACCAGAAGGACCCTGCTCGGGCCAAGGCCAGGCGCCGGCTGGTCATGGGGCTGCGGGAGGTCACCAAGCACATGAAGCTGAGCAAGATCAAGTGCGTCGTCATCTCTCCCAACTGCGAGAAGATCCAGTCCAAAGGCACGTACACGTTGCTTCTGTGCGCTGTGATGCGTTTGATGGAGTTACAGGAGAGTTTTAAAGAGCGAGCCATATGTTTTTCTCTGAGGCATATAATTTTAAAATATTATGCATGAGGAAAGAAAATGAAATCCTTTTATTTTTAATTTTTTAATGTTTTTGAGACAGGGTCTCACTATGCAGTTCAGGCTGGCCCTGAGCTCACTCTGTAGTCCAGGCTGGCCTCAAACTTGCCACAGTCCTCCTGCCTCAGCCTCTTGAGTGCTGGCATTACAGGCATGTGTCACCATGCCTGGCCAATGAAATCTTTTCACTACCTCAAATTAGGTAGGCTAACTGAGATTGGATCATAAAGAAAACCCTCACGTGTTAATACTGGTGAAGAGTTTCCGAGGTCCCATCCAGTGTTCCCTTTGCTGTGACCAGAATTCTTGCTCTCTAATACACCTGCTGTCACATTTCTTATATTCCTTCCTGTGGTAGCCTTCTCCCGTAGAAAGAATGAGAAGAGAAGGAAGGGTCTCTGCCCCCGCCTGTGGTTTGGAGAGCCAGACTGTGTCCCAGAAGCTGGCAGTCATGTGCGGAGGCTCCTACGCTGTGACATTGTCCCCTTCTGTCATTTTTTTCGTGGGGGGCCTTTGAGGTGGGTGGCGTGAGACAGATGCAGCGTGTGGCACTGGAGAAGCCCCAGGGCGGCAGCCACGTGTGCTCTGTGTAGATCACTACCTGAGCTGAAAGGTCAGAGCACGAAGTTCAGTGCTGTGAACAATTTAATTTTATTTTATTATGACTATTATTATTATTATTTTTTGGTACCGGGAATCAAACTCAAGACCTTGTACTTGCCAGGCAGATACTTGTGCTGCTGACCTATATCCCCAGCCCCAACAATGTAAGATAATTTCTTTATAATGCTTGTTAAACTGTATATTTATTTATTTATTTACGTATGTATGTATGTATGTATTTTTATTGCAGGACTGAGGACTGAGCTCAGGACCTTTACAGTGAGCTACATTCCCAGCCCTTTATTTTTTACTTCGAGACAGAGGTTATCACTAAGCTGCCCAGGCTAGGTTTGAATTTGTGATCCTCCTGTCTCAGCCTCAGAGTGCTAAGATTACTTATAGGCCTGGCTTAAATTGAAATTTGATTCCTGCTATGCTAATCACATTTTTGTTATGGAAAAACAAAAATCCTGGTTTTGAAGAAGTTTGCAGTTGTAGTTGAGAAGAAAGAAAGCTGTGTATCTGTAATACACAAACGGGAGGATGTGTAACAGCCTTGGTGCTGCAGGTATTCACCTGGTCCTCTCTGCAGGTGGTGCTGTACCAGGCCACAGGCTGGGTTAGCTCTGCTGAGGAAGTAACTAACTTGGAACCTCTGCGTGTGTTGATCCCTCAGGTGGTCTGGACGAGGCACTCTATAATGTTATAGCTATGGCTCGAGAACAAGAAATTCCTTTCGTGTTTGCCCTGGGGAGAAAAGCTCTAGGGCGCTGTGTGAACAAGCTGGTTCCTGTCAGTGTAGTGGGAATCTTCAACTACTTCGGTGCTGAGGTGAGAATTTCGGGGATGCTCTTCTTTTCTCCCCCTGCTGCTGCACGTAGCACATTTCCTGTTGACACATGGCCTGGTTGTGCTTAAGTATTTAAAAGTGAATTCAGGACTCGGAGGAGGTGGAAGCTCTTGAGTACTGCATTCCCTTTGTGGTGGTGAAACCCTGTAGCAGTTTGAATAGCTTTAGTTTACTGTTTGTGCCATAGTGGTTATTTTTGGGCTCAACTGCATAATACTTTGCAATTTATTTAACTGCTACTTAAAGATAGCCAGTATAATGCAATGCAAAGTAATTTTTTCAGTCTTTGTGATGAGTACATTTGTGTTCTAGGAGTCAAGAGAAACAAATCCTTAAATTGAAGGAATTGTCCTTTAGAATATGAAACATCTGCATCCATTTGTTGGAATAGATGTGTACCCATAATACCCTCACCCCTGGCAGCCGGCTAGCACAGCTTGCCTTGGGCAGTGTATTGATTGCCGTGGTATTTCAGGGGTGTTTGTTATGATTGATTCCCAACTACTTTGATGCAAGTGGCAGACCATTCCCTCTCTTCCCAGCTGTCTTAGTTACTTTTCTAGTTGCTCAAACAAAATACCCTAACCCTACAACTAAAGGAAGAAAGGTTTATTTGCTCACAGTCTATGGAGGTTTCAAATAACCTCTGTGGAGGTTTTAGTCCCTATGTGGCTGGCTCCAAGGCAGGGGCGCACATGCAGAGGGCATTGTGGAGCAGAAACAGAGCAGGCTGGGGGCAGCAAGCAGCAGGAACAGCAGTAACCCACCTTATTTCTGGAACCCACACTTAGGGTGGGGCTTCCACTACGTACACCCTAATCCCAGTATTACACCCTTAATCATTTACGCACCCCAATCCAGCCACCTCCAGAAAGCTCCAATTATGACTGCATGAGGATTTGGGGGTATCTAGACACAGCCATAACATTCTGCCCTGTCCCCCCAAAGACTTGCTCACGTCCCTTTATGCAAAAGGCATTCAGTCCATCTCTTAAGAGTTCCCGAAGTCCTAATAGTTTCAGCATTGCTAAAAAGTCCAAGTCCAAAGTCACCTCTGAAATTTAAGGCAAACACTTAGCTGGGAGCGCCTATGCAGATGAAAGTTAAAACACTTCTAACATACAATGGCACAGGAAAAACATTCCTATTCCAAATAGGGTTCTAGAAAGGAATGGGACCAAGTCCCATAGTTCCATGTCCAGCATCCAACGGAAATCTCTGGCAAGATGTGAACTCCAGCTGGGCGTGGTGGTGCATGCCTGTAATCCTAGCACTGGGAAGGCTGAGGCAGGAGGATTGTTGGAAGTTCAAGACCAGCCTGGGCTACAAAGTGAGCTCAAGGCCAGTCTGACTGCATAGCAAGACATTGTCTCAAAAAGACAAAAAAAAAAAAAAAAAAAAAAGATGTGAACTCCAAAAGCTTGGATGGCTCCATCACTATGGTATTTCTCTTGGTTGTAGTTTTCATGGCTTCTTTCTTGGGCCAGCTCTGCTCCCTCCTTGTAGTTTTCCTCAGACTATTCCATGTTCCTGGCTTGTCCAACCTTCTGGGGACTCCACTGCACCTTTGGCTTCACATTCACAGCTTCACACACTGCCCTCTCGGGTACATCACCTGGTCCCCCAGACCTTCTTCTGAAATCTGGGTGGAAGCCTTCCTGACTTGACAACTCTTGCATCTTGCATGCTTCTAAATCAGCACTACATGGATGACCCCAAGGTCTGCCACCAGCTGGAGCAGTAGCCAGGCTTCCCTCTCTCTGGGCTATAGGGATCAGGTGCCTCTGAACCCAGTCCTGAGGAGCAACTTCCCTAGGCCACCACCATTCCGGAAGATGGTGCTTGCTCTAGGGCTGTCTTTAAAAGCAAAGCCTTTCAGTTTTTCAATTCTGAGGCTGCAGAGGGTGGAGTCCTGAGTCTTGTGATGTCCTTAGGCCATCTTTTCCTTTTCAGCAACTAATTTCTCCTCCTGCATCCTTGTGGTCCACAAGTTTAACAAAGCTTCCATTCTGGCCAAACTCAAAATGTGTTAAATCATTCTGCTGGGCTCTTAGCTCTTGATTCTCAACATAGATTGGACTAAAAGCCCCCAACAGTAGCAGTGCTACCACCTCAACATTAGCTGCCCGGAAATTTCTTCCACAAGAGTAAATTAGTCCACTGCCTTTAATCCTAGTTTCAGGCAAAGTCTCTGAACACAGGGGAAATGCAGATAAATTTTTGGCCAGAGCGTAACACACATGATCAGGGGTTCATCAGCCAGTGCAGTCCTTCCCAGCAGAAACCTCCTGAGCCTGGTCTTTACCAGCTGCGTTTCTGTCGGCATTCTGGTCTTTTGAATTCTGACCAGAACCTTCCATCAAATACAGGTTAAAGCATTCTAGGGCTACTTCTTCAGACAGCATCTCCAAATCTTTCCAAACCCTTCTCACAAACCAGTCCCAAAAGCTCCTCTACCACATGACCAGGTAGGGTCACAGCAGTGACCCCACTCTCAGTACTAGAATCTGTCTTGGTTACTCTTCTAGTTGCTGGGACAAAATACCCAACATCCAAAGTTAAAGGAGGAAATGTTTATTTCAGCTCACAGTTTGTAGTGGTTTTAGTTCATAGTTGGCTGGTTCTAAGGTAGGGTGGCCCTGGCAGAGAGGCATTGCAGAGGAGAAACAATTCATGGGATTGCAGGCAGAAGGCAGCACAGCAGCAAGTAGCAGCAACAGCAGAAACAACAGTAGCAAGCCTGCCTTATTTCTTTCTGTCCCTTTGTATTCCATCCAGGGTACAAGCCCATTGATCAGTGCTCCCCACACCCAGAGTGGGGCTTCCATTATCCACACCCTGAACCCCGTTATCATACCTATAATCCACATACATGCGTAAACACTAATCCAGCCATCTTCAAACTCCCCACCTATGAGTGCATGAGATTGAGGGGATATCTAGATACAAGCCATAAAATATCAACCTTACTGTATTTATATATATTTAAATGCTTACTCTCTGGTTACATATTTGCATTCTGCCCATTTTCCCGGTCTCCTGCCCACTCATGGACAGTCTCCTCCACTGCCCATGAAGTCATCTGCCCACTGCTCTCTGAATGTGTAGTAAGACTGCTCTGTCAGGAGTCTGTTACCCTGTGCTATAGCTGGTCGCACTGTGGGGCTGTGGTTTATGTGTATCCTTCCCATTGTACTGGGGTTCCTGGTGGCAGGCCCCTGGTCTCCATATCCTGACACCTTTCCCAATACTTGAACATGAGCAGGTGGGAAATGCTCACTGAATGGACTGTGACTGACTGGTGCACCTGGACCTGTGTGCTAAAAGTGTGCATGACGATGGAGGCAACGAACACCTGTGTGGAAAGGAGGGCCAGGGATGAAGATAACTAATGAAATCCTACTCCTGTTTTGTTCAGTATTGGAGTTCCTGGGATAAGAATGGGTCATGAAAGTGGATATGTTTTTTCTTAATTGTGTTGGCTTCTTTATGAATTATGTGTGGAGGGTTATTTCTATGCTTTTATTAAAAAATGTTTGCCAGTTTTGTTTGCATTTCTTTTACTTATATTGAAGTAAGTAAATTGTTTAAACCAAAGCATACTCTTCCATGGAAACATAAAAATAATGGTGATGTTATTAGATATCTCCTTTCCTGATAATGCAGTAGTGTGCCTGAGTTATTTTTACCATCTGCTAAAGCTCACCTGATGTAGGCTGCCAGTTCTGATCCTCACATTCAAGGCTTTTCATTCCAATTCCAGTTTCTCCCTTCATTTTCTTTTTCTCTTCCCTTACGTTCTTTTATTCCTAACAATCTCTATCTTATTTATGTTATAAAACCAACGTTAACCTCAAAATCATATCTGCGTGTACCTGTTTCCTTGTTACTGGTTGCATTTAAATGCACAGTTTATTAAGCACTGTGAGTGCTCCTCACGTAACGCCAGGGGCTGTTCTTAACCATCCTGGGTATGTTCTTGGCCCTACTGGTTGTTAGCACCCACCCTTCAGAACAGGCTTACTGTACCTGTTCCTCAGACAGTTTAACCTGCAGCTGGGCAAGAACTTGTGACGTGTGTTTCCTTCTCGAGTTCATTTTCATCTTGTTGAGGTTTGCACGTAAAGAGCAGTGTCTTAATGAGAAGGTAGCAAGTTGTGCTGTCCTTTCCACCCCTGTCTGAAGGCACCATTTTATATATAAGATTAAACCACTCTTACAGATGTCCAGGTCATGTTTACCAGTTGAACTTCTTCATGTCTCATTGTTTTGTTGTGGGATTACATTAAAGTTCGAAGCAAGAGTAAAAGGAACCAGAGGAAGTCAGATATCCTCTGGATGTCACCAGTTACTGAAGTGCAGCGTTAGCACTTGGTAAATCTCGCCATTCTTTTTTTTGAGACAAAGTTTTACTGTGTAGTTCATGCTGGCCTTGAGTTCACTATGTAGCCCAGGCTGGCCTTAAACTTGTGGAGATACTCCTGCCTCGGCCTCCCGAGTGCTGGGATTACAGTTGTGCGCCACCACACCCGACAGTGTTTACCATTCTGTTAAACAGAAACATAGCCTCATACTCATGATTTTGCTGGTATTGTTTATTCACACCACTTTGTGTTGCTCTGACGAGAACTTCCGGTTATGAAGCTCCATATTTCCCTCCGGCCCACGAACGCTTAATATGTCACACATAGCAACCAGGGGTAGCACCAAGAACTGTCCTCAGGCTGGAAAAAGTCAGACAATGAGTTGGAATGCTTTGTAAGTTTCTGTGGTTTGCGTTCAGATTTTGAAACATAGTAGAAGTATTTATTGCTAAAAACAGGAATAAGGCGAGGATAAAGTTAAGCAGCACAAGTGCCTGCCTGGCAAGCGCAAGGTCATGAGTTTGATTCCTAGTACAAAAAAAAAAACAAAAACAAACAAAAAAAGCAGGAATAAAATGCGTTTTCGTGAACAGCTCATCCAACCCTCTTTTCTGTGCAGAGCCTGTTTCATAAGTTGGTGGAGCTCACAGAGGAGGCCAGGAAAGCATACAAAGACATGGTTGCGGCCATGGAGCAGGAGCAGGCCGAGGAGGCCTTGAAGAACGTGAAGAAGGTGCCACACCACATGGGCCACTCGCGGAACCCCTCCGCGGCCAGTGCCATCTCCTTCTGCAGTGTGATTTCCGAGCCCATCTCCGAGGTCAACGAGAAGGAATACGGTGGGTGTCACAGGCCTTTTTCTGTTGTGTTTTTGTGGTCCTGGCAGATAACCCCAGGACCTCACACTGGCCAGGTCAGCAAGCACCATACACTGAGCTCCATCCCCAGCCCTTTTTATTTTTTATTTTGAGACAGGGTGTCACTAAGTTTCCCAGGCTGGACTCAAACTTGAAATGCTCCTGCCTAAGCCTACCTACCAAGGAGCTGGATTATGAGTATATGCTACAGTGCCTGGCTTGTTACATATCATTTTAAATGGCTTAAACTTTAAAATAAATTAAGTAATGAAAATCATTTTGTAAATAACTTTCCATTCTAGCTTTTGTTTTGGTTTTTGGCAGCTTTTCTTTTTTGAGACAGGGTCTCACTATGTAGCCCAGGCTGGCTTTGAACTTGCAGAGATCCTTCTGCCTCAGCCTTCATGCCCAGCTTTTATCCTTATTTTGTGATTATTCAAAATTTTGGCTTAAAGAATTCCATTGAAGATGTTCGTTAAAGATCAGACTATCTGGGACTGAAACTTTCTATGAGATCCTAGAGTTTAATCGTAGTTCCAAAATCTTAGGTTCTGCAACACCAAGTGAACCATACTTGTGACGTATCACCAAGCAGGTACCAGAGGGTTTTTATTCTGGCAAATTGCACGAAGTTGTTAACATTTTATATTTGCTAAGTAAACCACAGACCCGAACACCACTCAGTCTGATCTTGTAAAAACTCGAACATGTGATGTTTGCTTTAGGTTGAGTCTGTAGTGGAGAAGACCGAAACAAAGCAGCATGTACATTCAGCACTAGCGCCACCCACGGTCCCTCCTGTCCCTTCTCCTTTTCTCTCCCACCTTCCCTTCCTTCCTTTCCCTCCCCATCATCTGTCCTCCTCCACGGGTCCTTGTTCTTTCTCATCTTTTCCCATTTTAATCTTACTGGCATCATTCAGTAGCCCGCTGCCCCCCATCTCTGCTCCCCTTTCCTGCGCAGTCCGGGGTGTCTGCGAGGCCCCGCGAGGGCTGCTTTCTGCACCCTGCAGACCAGAGGCACGGCCTGTGGAGGCCTCGCCCCTGGGCAGCTGTCACTGGCTGTGGGCGTGCAGCTGCGCTGCTTCTCTTTGAGCCCTGGGGAGGGACACAGGAGGACGGAGGAGGTGCGCGCTTTGTCCATGGGTGGCCTTGCTGTGTGGGGAAACACCAGATGGCAGGAGCCACCTGCAAGGTCCGTGTGTAGAGCTGTAGGCTGAGGCAGGAAGGTCTCAAGTTCAGGCTTAGCTTGAACAACTCAGTAACTGAGGGCGGGTGTGTCTCAGAGCAAGAAAGCCCCACTGGAAAAGAAGGAAGGCAAAGCTAGGGGTGTGAGCAGATGGCAGTGATAAGCAAATTTCAGGTGGGCACCTACAGAGCCGAAGAACGTGGGAAGCAGCTCTCAGAGATGGGCGTGGAAAGTGCTTGGAGGTTGAGGTTTACAGGCCCTGCCGGGGCCTGCTGCAGAGTCGATCGTCTCCAGACCTCAGATTTTCTTTAGGAAAATCGGTTGGGAGGAAACACAAATGCACGTCTAAAACCCTAACACCTTAAAGGTTTCTTTGCATAACTAAAAACGAGAGAATTTTTATTTACTCTCTTTCCCAGCCCTTACTGCGGGGCAAACATGGGGACAGAGACGAGCTGGGGGGCTGGGGGCCAGCATGGACACTGCCCCACGGCAGTGGGGGGCTCTGAGGATGACCACAGGGCACCCAGAGGGGACGGATGTCTCTTGCAGTTGTCACTGCAAGCAGAATGTGGCTCAGGGAGAGGACAGAGAGTGCTGAGGGGCAGTAAGCAAGAGTGTCGCGCATGGCGGCCCTCGGCCGGGTCCAGGCGGTGGCCCGAGAGGTGGAGGAGGATGGGCCCACGGCGGGCTGGCTGTGCCCAGCTGAGCATGGACCCTGCCGTGCTGAGGGGGACGGTGGACAGTGACGGATCTGCTCCCCGCCGCCCCCCGAAGAGCTGGCCCAGTGCGGCGAGAGTGGGAAGGCGCCAGGCAGCGGCGAGGGGTGTAGTACTGGGGGCCGGAAGTGACTCCGTGCGGTGCGGGGCTCAGGGCTGTGCAGCTGTGCGCTGCGGGCCGAGAGTGAGGAGCCGCAGGAGCTTGTGCTTGGTGCGCGAGGGTGGCGGGCGGGAAGGCAGGGTTTCTCTCTCCACACGGTACCCTGCCTGGACCCGCTGCCCGGCTGCCGTGGCCGCCGTGTGGCTGTGGGGGGTGCTCGGGTTGCGTCCCTTGGTGTGAGGAGGCTTCTTCCTTCAGTGCAGCCTGCTGAGAGGATCCGCCTGTAAATGCGAGTAGCAGTGGTGCTGCAACCGAGTGCTCTTACTTCAAAACCAGAAATAGGTAGCAGAGCTGTTTCCTCTCCTCATTCCCAGTACCTTTTTTTGCTCTGCACAGATTTTACGCCCTGGAAGATAATTTTAGGTTAACCCCCGTATTGGGTACAGTCTTTCTGGTCCTTCTGAATCACAGTGTGAGCTAAGCTACGTGATTTCAAAGTCTGCGTCACAAGTGTTGGAAACGCGTGAGGGTACGCGTGGCTGTGGAGTGGCGCAGGTCTCCACACAGCTGCGTGACGAACGTGCAGACGCAGCAGGCAGAGCGGGTCTTGCTGGGCCTCTCGGCTGCGCCAGGTGAGCTGTGGGTTCCTGAGCTTCGCACACCGCAGGCGCCAGCAAGCCCTGGACCACTCGCTGATGGTCATGGACGTTCGGATTTTGTGTAGGAACACAAGGGCCCTGTTGGTGTCAGAACTTCTGCTGTCTGATGCATTCATACGTTTGTCTCCTTAGTTTGTAGTTTCAAATGCACATTTTGGAGGATTGTTTTCCCTTCATAACATTTAAACTAGTACAAGAATAATCTAAAATTTTAATTTTCCCAGCCAGTTGCTGAGCCAACAAATTCCTGGGTCTTATTCTTCCACCTTACTGTTGGGTTTTTCCACTCCATGGTTCCGAAACCGTACTCTGATTTGTAAAAATCTGTTTGCAATTTGTAGAGACAAATTGGAGAAACATGGTGGAGACCTCGGAAAATGAGAAGGAGGCGTGCAGCCAGCAGTGTACTTCTGAGAAGGCGGGTAGACTGCCGCCCACCCCCGCCCCGGCAGGGAAGCAGCCAGCCCTGAGCCTCCCGGCCGTGGGCAGCGCCAGCTCCCTGCCCAGCCCGGGGAAGGCCACAGCCGGTGACAAGGAGGAGGTGAAGCCCGACGAGCTGGAGTGGGCCTCGCAGCAGAGCACGGAGACCGGATCCCTGGACGGCAGCTGCCGGGACCTGCTCAGCTCGTCCATCACCAGCACCACCAGCACGCTGGTGCCTGGGATGCTTGAGGAGGAGGACGACGAGGACGAGGAGGAGGAGGAGGACTACACCCACGAACCCATCTCGGTGGAGGTGCAGCTCAACAGTCGGATTGAGTCCTGGGTCTCGGAGACCCAGAGAACTATGGAGACCCTCCAGCTGGGGAAGAGCCTGGCCGGCCCGGAGGAGGACCGCACAGAGCAGAGTGGAGAGGAGGACGCTGAGGCGCCCGAGGCGCTGGAGCCGGGGCCGGACACGGAGGCCTGGACTCCAGACCATCAGGCCATGCCCGACCCACAGAAGCCCAGCAGCTGCGGCCCCACGAGCCAGGAGCCCACAAAGCCCAGCAGCACACCCCAGCACGCGTAACTCAGGAACCATCAGCTCTGGGGCCAAGGGCTGCAGCGCTGCCTGGAAGTCATCTGGGCTGTACCTTGGTACTTGCTTGTGTCCAGCTCCCAGCCGGTACTTTTGTAGCACTTACTGTCTTGCGCCAATCTATAGCTTAGCTTTTAATTTGCTGCATCTGGATGTCTTTCTAAGAATCTGTGGGAAATTCAGATCCAGTTCAACTTCTTTTGTAATGAAAAGTAATGTTCAAATAAGGAAGATCAAGTTTGAAGGAAAGTAAATTTTAAATGCCTGCTTAAGTCATTTTGAAAGCTAGAGATCAGGGTCTAAGGATCAGTGCAGTTACCAGTGTTTGCATCAAGACTGTGGTTCCTTAACCACAGTCTGATCAGAGGGTCGTTTGGGCATCTTTCAAAAACAACTGCAGACAGGGTCAGAGAACTGTGTAGAAGGCCGAGGGCAGCAGGCCCACAAGCGAACAAGCCAGTGCTGCTTTCCTGTGGTCCACAGAGGCACATTTCAGGAGTCACTGATTGTCACTGTCCTTGAAGCTTGGGGGCGCTCGCTGACGGCCTCCCAGACTTAGGCAGGCGGAGGTCACCAGGAGCCTGGGCAGCCTCGGTGGAAGGGACCCATGTGTGTCCAGCAGGGCGGTCACCTGGGAGAGGACCTCCAGGTTTGACCTCAGAGTTGCTTTCTACTTACCTCAGGAACGGTCTTGTACGTAGTCTGTTTACATAAAGACAGGTGAATAACTGTGATGGCTGGCGGCGTGACTGCAGCACTTCGGTGAATAGTCTCCTGGTGTGTTCTCGCATGCTTCCGGTTCAGGACTCGCTTAAGATGCAGATTGGATGGGGTATCGACACTTGCACTGAGTGCAAAACTGCTTCATCTCTTTTCAAAATAGCGTTTCGTGCCTGGCCTTGGGCACCTTCCACACGGCAGTGACCATAGTTACTGACAGGAAGTCAGGGAAAGGAATTTTGCACAACTTCTAAGGTTATCCTGATGATCAAGGCTTAGAAGAGGAGGTTTTAAAAGAAAAGAGAACGTTTTAATTGCGCTAAACCTGTTAGATGACTTAGAGTAGAAAGATATATGCATGTATTCATTTCTTAGTCATTTATTTATCTTCGCCCTTCTAGGAATGTGGGTCCTGCTCTGGAGAAATCAGCTCAGTGAGCTAAATGTACTTGCTAGTCAGTCAGCACCGGGCTTTCGTGATTGTGACCAGTGCATGTAGCGCTGGGAGAATCACACGCGGTCCACTTTCTGTCTCCCGTCCACCTCCTCCTGCATCCCAGCTGGCCTGCACACGCGCGCACGCACACACACACACACACACACACACACACACCAGCCTCGCTCCCAGGCTCCGGTATGATGACACAACAAGGAGGGAGGGTCTCCCCCACACTGGCTGCAGGGGCAGGAGGGCAGAGCTGGGGGCTGCTTGCCTGAACTCATTGGGGTGCTGTGCTGTCATTGGTGCTTTATAATGCCGGCACTTCATTGCTAGAGAGGTCAGAGTCTTGGCTGGCAGTATCGTATTTGTGGGGAAGTTCAGGAGCACTGCTGTGGAGGAAGTGTGTCTGTCAGCTTTCCTACTGTGCTGAAAGGGGCCCACACTCCACAGTCTTGTCTACACCGCGGTAATTACCCGCCTTTCAAGGCACACAGCTGGTAAGGGATGAAGCCTGTCAGGGTAACCTGGATTCAGACGTGGCAGATCTTACTGTCTCCATAGATTTGGAAGCATCTGTGCATTTAAAGAAATGATAGAGGTTTTGAGCTACTGACAATCCTGAGAGTTTTAAAACTTTTTCTACTTTCTATCGTGTTAATTTCCTTTGCTCAGTGTCAGTGATTCAGAGAACTCTTGATCTTAGGGAATGGCTTTCATAGGGTTCTTGTATTTTCTCTGTCTTCTGGACATGAATTGTCGTTTTTGATTTTTGACATTTGTATGAAAAGAGAAGTTGAGGAAATCTGTAACCTAACTGCTGCCGGGGAAGGAGCCAGTTTTGTGTTCAGCGATGTGTTCCCACAGTTCCTCTTCTGCCACCCAACCACGGGACCACAGCCTTTTCCTGCAACAGGTCACCTCTAGTGAGACTCACTAAAGGAATGCTACTCATTGCGAGAGAGTGTCCTTATGTAGTACACGTTGATGATGTCTTTATCATTTGTTTCCGTTAGGTGAGCTTTGGAATCTGTGTATACAGAATTACAGGCTTTCCGGGAAGTCTGAGAATTAGGAAAGTTCTAATTATTTTTGGAAGTGGGTGTGGTTCACTCTTTAGAGACCTAGAAAGAGATCTGATAGGAAGACAAAGGGTTCATCAGCACAAAAAATGAAAACAGTGATCTTTTTCTTGGTGTGTAGAAGTTGTTTTCTTGGCAATAATAAATGTTAGATTTCTATTTCAGTACACAAGTATATGACTTACATTATGGGTTCCACTCCGCAGATTAGATTTTTGCTTTAGTAGATTTTTTTGCCATGAAGATTACTTCTCAAAAGACAGACGTTCCTATTAGCTTAGTTTTTGGTTTAACTATGTTTATAAATGATGTAATATATTTCATTTGACTAAAGATAGAAAAATAATGTGTTATACATGAAAAGTTTTTACAGGCTTTGACTGGAGGTCATTTTTGCAGAGATGGTATTTTATATGCTTCCAGTATTTGGAAAAGAATTAGTCAAAAGGAATTCACATAGTTTAAATATTGATAAATTAATATCCAAATAATGTACTTGTCTGATTTCTTAATAAGTTGGGGGAGGTGGGAGGGGTGGGAATTACAATGTGCAAATGAGTAGTGATTTCTACGTTCATTTTCAACATAAAACTGCTAAATCGTAACACATTGTTACTTTAATATATGTATAAAGAAGTATTACTGTTTATAAAGCTGCTGTTTGCTTTAAAAGTTGTCATGTAAGTATTTTCTGTATGTTGTGCCAACTCATCTGCTAAAAACTTACCTTCTTTCGATCTAAGAAATTTTCTGTGAAATAATTTATCTAGACATTTTTCTCTTCCTGTGTCCTTTCCACTTTTGCACACATCTGAGTCAACCAAACTTTTTGCTTAATCGGAAGCCTGAACCCTAATGGTAAAAATTCACTTTGTTGGCACATCACATCTTAAAAGTATTTGTATTATTTTGTAATTTAATTTCTAACTATACCACCCCGATTTATAATTTAATGTCTTAATTATAATGCTCTAATAAAAATAGCAAAATCAGTATGAGCTGACATGAAGGGATTTTCATCTCGTTCTTTTGCGTATGAAGATGATTACAGGGAACATCAGCGTTTTGCACTGTGTACCTACCGGCGGGCTCTCGTGCAGTAATGAACTGAGGATTGAAAGACAGGCTGTCACTTTCGGGCAGGCGCTCGGCTCGCCCGCACGCAGGGGTGACGGCCGGCAGGCGGGCGCGGGAGCGGTGCGCGCACGGTGCGGGGCGC